AGTCCAAGCTTGAATACGCGTGATTTAATTGTTACACAGAAAGGAATAATTAAGCTCATATGCATGGCTCTGTGGCAGATTTTTCACAGATAAAAGCAAAGAATAAAACAGTAGGAAAAAAAAGAAAGAGAGAATGGTTTAATTGCATACTAGTATTTGATGTATCAGAAGAAAGTGGTGCTGGTTTATCACCTCCTTGTACAGAAGTTGTCATGTGGTGCTTAAGCGTTACTATTGACTGCTTCCGATCTCTTCTCTCTTCTTTACCAAATAGTAGCCAGAAATGAATTGCAGATCAGGAATTTCAATTTCAGTATGATCTCTTCTCATCTTCTGTTCTTGTTCAAATTCACCCACTTCCACCATCACCGGACCACCAGCCGCACCATCGCAAGTTCTCTCTCTCTCTCTCTCTCCTCTTTATTTCTTCTTCTCTCTCCCTCCGGAAATGGAAGAAATGTCCCCAATGTAAGTTTTTTTTTTTTTTTTGGGGGGGGGGGGGTATAAATGTTTACATATTACGTGCAAATTCGTTTCATCCTTTAAACTACTAATGAATTAGCTTTTGTTAGTCATCTTTGAACGGTGCAATAGATAAAACATCATTTTCTCAGAAAATGACTCTAAAACAATGCATCGATGCCAAAAAATACTTACTTTGTAATGGTTCATGGAGACACATGAGTTAAACCTCAAAACACTCTCTTGTTTTTTGTTTTTAAATTCTGATTTTCAGCCTTCAGGTGTAAATTTGAGTTCTGCTATGAGTGAGTTCTAAATGGTTTGAACTCATATTGGTTGCCAGAGAGACCAAGGATTGAAGAGAATTAAATAATCATAGTAACTATGTCAAAAGGGTACTTAACAATTATATATTTTATGATAAGGGAAGTTTAGTTTGCTTGTTTTTAGAGATTAGAATTATCAAAAATCCTTTGTATTGTAGTTTAATGAAAGAGTGATAGAATATATAGATAATACAGTCCCTTTTTAATAGACTGTCTCATCGAAGAATATATTATGGTCTTAAAACCATTTTATGTTATCTAGCAAATGAAAGCTAACAGCTATCAACGGTCTACATGAGTGGATCAGTTTCAACCACTATAATAGCCACTGTTTCTTACAAATAAGGTCTAGAATAGAATCACCTTGAATGAATACCGCGGTTGGTCACCACCACAACTGAAACATAAATGCCATGAATTTGTCAAATCAATAAAGGATGCTTGAATGTATAGAGATGTTCTAAGGGTCAGTTTTTCATTTTTCTTGTCACCACTCGCAACTACAACAGATCTGGTTGTTTGCCTTCATGATGAAATAGAATAGTCAAGGCCTTTTTCTTTAAGTTGTTTGGTTTGCTGTTTTGATTGTTTGGGTGAGATTTGTTTGGTGGCATTTGCATTGCATGCCCATTGGGTGGGCATGATGCTTTGGAATGTATTATCTTATTGTACACTTCTTTAATAAACTTTACCTTACTATTCTTTTTTTTTTTTTTTTAAAGAAAAGGTTAATCGCTTGGGCTATGTTTGATATGAAGGAAAAAGTAGGGAAATGTAGGAAAACCTTTACAAACCTTGTATAGGTTTCCTTGACTTTTACTTCCTTTCCCTATTTTTTTCTTCAAACCAAACACAACCTTAAGGGGGCATTCTTTTCCTGGATTTTGAGAGGGGGTAAAGTTGGTCAATGGGATTGTTCTTTTTTCAGATTTATGTAGGGATTAGTGAATGTTTCTTAATTCCTCGGGTAAGTAATACCCATCTCCTATGTGGGTAAATAACTTTCCTACCTTGGGGGAAAGTTACCAACACTTGAATGGGACAAAAGTGCCCCTTGTAATAATGGATTTTTATGGTTAAAATGGTCATTACCTTATTTACATGGGAAATAAAAGAACATGAATAAATACACTTACCCGAGTAACTCTTTCCTCGAAAACACTTACCTGAGAAAGTGAATTTACCCAAATAAGTAACTTACCGAAAAATGAACGAGGCCTAAAAGTATATCTCTCACAATGGAAATGGAGGTTTTGAAAAACAAGGATATATCTAAGAGAAATAGAAAAAAGTGAAGGAAGCCTAATCTATCCTTGTCGTTTGGAGGTTTGGTAAAACATGGCAAGAAATAGAACCCGAAGGAACAAAACTATCACTTTCTATTTTTTTGACTTTCTACTTTCTTGAAAGCATGTAAATGAAGTGAAAATATATATTTTTTCGGCTGTGGGGCACTACGTCTGAACTTGGTTTAGATTGACACCCCAACAACATGCTTTCACAATACACCATGTACATCTTAGGATGCATTGGGAGCATCTCCCATACTTGTCAATAAAAGATGTTTCTAATAGATGGTTGGAATGTACTGTGGGGTGTAATCTATAAGGCGTCCATGTGAATTCCAAATTTGGGTTTGAACCTGACGTTTAGACGGGCCATTCAGACATTCACTGCACTAGAGGTGTAAATTGGGTCGTGCTGCCCGTGGCTTGGCATGGCCTGGCCCGGCACGATGGCACGCGGGCCGTCCGTGCCGTGTTGGGCCTAGGATTTTAGGTCCTTAGGCAAGGCCGGCACGGCACCACCAAGTGGGCCATGCCGCTCGTGGCCCGCATGCCGGCACAGTCCAAAACGACCCATATATACTATATATATATATATATAATATTATATAAATTATAATTATATAATAATATATAGTATATAATATATTAATGAAATAAATAATTGTTTTTAATTTTATTATACTAATTTATTTAATTATTATATATATAAGCAATTATATACATCAGAATTCATATAAAATTAAAATTTTAAGTTCTTTTTTTTTCAATTTTTTAAATCAATAAATAAAAATAACTTTGACCCGGTCCATGACCCAGCTTGAGCCAAGGCTTGGCCCATGGGCCAGCCCGGCCCATGGCACGACACTGCATGTCATGAGCCCACACAGACTTGGGCTGTGAATTGTGCCAGACTGACCCCCAAACTATTCACTAAAAAGGGCAGTACAACCCGTAACAGCCCACGGGCCATGCCAGCACGGCCCACTTTAGACATCTACACTGTACCAGCTACTCAGCCTTTTAAATTAGCTGCCAGGCTGTGATAACATTCCAAGTCAATCATAAACAATGACCTAGAAAAATAAGAGAAATCAACTACTCTAATAGCGATATGCTAATTCGATTCAATGGACTACTTTTTCATGTATTGTTGGAATTCACTTCATCCACTTTAAGCGGACTACATCAATATATTAATAAAAGTGGACTATTTCAATCCACTATACCCTCTATCACATGATTGAAACTTGAAAGTTGAAACAACCCCACACCAGACTCTATTATGTGTTGCGGACATTCGGTGAGTATTTAATTTCTATAAAATATCTTAGTCTTGATCGACTTTAGAACCTTACAAAAATGAAAATATCTTCTATGGTGTGGCTTGAGCTACTTAGATTTATATGTGGATGAGATATATATTATATTGTGATATATCTCAATTCAGACCTTATTATGGAAATGAAACTAAGAATTTAATCCCGCCTCCTAACAGGCCGGAAAATCCCAACACTATCCTCAATCCTCATTCTCGAATTTGCCCACCCCACCGACATTTTATCTGCAAATCTATTTATTTATATTATAACATATTATTTTATGTATAGAATTAACATTTATTTTTATAATCACTTTATATAAAATATTATCTATAATGTCTTACAGTTGTTATTCGAGAATTGGTGTATTATAATGTCTTACATGTTATGGAAATATTATATTATACTCATATTAAAACATATTATCTATTGTATGGATGTAAATGGATTAGATTAAATTCAAATTGGTGTATATTTGAATCTGATTCGATAATATAAATTTTATATCAGGCCCAACTTGATGATTCGACAGATCTTGTAAAGTTTAAGCCGTATTCAAATTCATTAAGGATGTTGAATATCCAAATCTGCTAGGTTCCAATTTAATTACTCACAGATATATAATATTTAACAAATTATTAATAGAAGAAAAAAATAAAATAGTCTATACAAAAAAAAAAAAGCACAAGCACTTATTCCTACCATTTTTGTCATATATATTTTACACAAAATGGGGTATATAAGGGGGATCTGAATCCAATCCAAAAATCTAATAGAAGGATATTTGAATCCGACAAATTTCAGTCTAACTAGGGATGCAAATGGATAGGATGTGATCCAACCGGATCTCATAAGCATTGATTTAAATCCAACCGAATCCATTAATTAAGGATGTCGGATATTTTAATCTAATCTGATATGATTTAATTTTTTTAAAAAAAAATTAATAAACTATTAGAAGGAAAAGAAAATAAAACAGTTTATGTAAAGAAAAACAGAAAAAGACAAGTATTTTTTCAACTATATTCATCATATATATATACACGTTTTTTTAATAAAAATAAATAATATAAAATTTTACAAAAATGCAATATAAACATATTTATAAAAAATAAAAAAATAAATAATATATTGGATCAGATTCTTTTGGATGATCTGAATTTGATTTGATTTTCAATTGAATCCTATTATCTGAACTAATATAATCTAAAAATCCAAAAGGGGGATATCTGAATTTGAGAAAATAGGATCGAATTAGATCATGATCCGATCTATTTGCGCCCCTAACAGCATCCCAAAAATGATAAATATTCTCAATGCACGCTGAGATGAAATATACGTGTGAATCATTTTTGGGGCGCATTCTGTGGGGGCAGATGTGATCTTCACTCCCATTACAGTCACACATTGATGATAATGTTAAGGATAGGTAATTGCAATTATTAAAATTCAGGAGAGGTTTCAGCAATGTAAAAAGCTGGAGAGAGAAAAGTCGTCCGGTTTTCTTAACGGATAAAAAAGTCAAATCTCGAATTCTTTATTGTTCAATCCACTTCAAAAATTCCGATCCAGAAATCTGAGCCCACCGGAATGAATTCTGACCGTGAATCGATGTCAAATCTACGGTCAGAATGCGATTTATAGGGGCTATAATAGTTTCAGATTTTGAGGGGGACTGCAGTCTACCTATCCCTATAAAGAAATGGTGGCAAGAGAATTGAAGCAGAGATTGAAAAGGAGCGGAGACCGCCAGACCAGGAGAGAGAGGAGTGGAAATGGAAGAGGATGTATACCTGCAGGGTCCTCCGCCCATCGTTTTCCGGTGGGACGTGTTCCTGAGTTTCAGAGGCGAGGACACTCGCCATGGTTTCACTATGAACCTCTTCGACGAGCTCGTACGGGAAAATATCCGAACGTTCATGGACGACGATGGATTGCAGAGAGGAGAGGAGATCGCGCCGAGCCTACTGACGGCGATAGAGGATTCGTCAGCATCGATCGTAGTGATATCGAAGAAGTACGCGTCGTCCAGGTGGTGCTTGGAAGAGCTGGCGAAGATCGTGGAGTGCCGGCGGACGATACTTCCGGTGTTTTATGAAGTAGATCCCTCCGATGTACGACAACAGAAGGGCCCCTTCAAAGACGACTTCGAGAAACTGGAGAAACGTTTTGGAGTGGAAAAGGTCTTGATATGGAGAGAAGCTATGACGAAAGCTGGTGGAACCGCCGGCTGGGATTCCAGAACCTGGTATTTCCTTAACTCTTTTTTTCTACTCTTTCCTTGGTTGGGTTTGGTTTGAAAAAAAAAGGTAGGGAAAGGAATCCCTTCAAACCAAACACAGGATTAATTAGTAACTGTGTTTTCTTGTTAATTTTCATTATATGAATAAAAGTGAAATTGACGAAAAAAAAAAGAACTAGTAAATATAAACCTTCGCATCGTTTGCTTTTTCAGCATTCTCGTCACTGTTCTAGCAAGTTTTTAGAAGAATCTTGCTAACTGCTATTGGATGGTGGATGGTGGATGGTGGAACTGTTTGAACTGTCACCTGGTTAACATTTTTCTCTTTTTTTTTTTTTTTTTTTTAATTCAGGATTTGATACAAAATTATTTTCTTGGATAAAACTCGATTGAGAAGAATTAATTGTTGCTGTGTGCTCTTTTGCCAAAATATACCCAAAAATTCTAACCTGCATTGGGCTCGATGGAAGTTGAGTGTTGAACTATACATGGTTTTCAAAACCTGACCAGAAACGGAATTATTATCGCCACCGGTTCCTGTGTCAAACGTGGTCTACCTGTTTGATTCAAACCCGGGTCGTACAGTTTTGGGTCCAAAACTGGACCCAGACTGGTTCCCGGGTCAACCAGTCCAGCCGGTTGCCCTTGCCTACTTTATGTTCACACAATCACAAACATGCATCAAATATCCATTAAATGCCCTTGCCTACTTTAGGTTCTAGAAGACCACACGATCACAAATATGTAATATTACTTGAGGGACATTTGGTTGGTTCGCTTCTCATAATTAGCTTTTTAACAAAAATACTTCACCGACTAATGAAAAGTGGGAAAAAAATGATGGTGTTTCAATTGGCGGGATCTTTGACTGGTAGCGAAGGCTTCGGATTAAATCACGCTGCCACCAGGATTGGCGGGTTAAGGGTCCCATTTGTGTAACTTTACGAAAAAATTAAGGGCTCGACTATGATACCCAAAAGACATCATATCAGATAAATTTACAACCAATCAACCCTAATAACAATTAATAATTAATTAATTAATATAGAAAGTTTGTTAGTTAATTATTAAATAATAATTAATATTTATTATTTATTATGTATTAATTAATAGTTTTTTTTATCGATTATTATTTTTAGTTATTTAAAAATTTTTTTATTATTTTTTTAAGCATTAATTAAATTAATAATAAAATAATTATTTCGTTAATTAATTACTAATTATTTAATAATAACTTTTTATTTTTTATTATTCTATTATTAATTCTTAATTATTTTAAATCAATATTTAGTTTTTTAATTAATTTCATTAATTAAAAAATTAAATTTTATATGTTTATATTTTATTATTAATAATAACCATGACTTGATTGTTAATTTTAATATTTTAATATTAATTATTAATTAATTGTTAAATTATTTTTCATTTATGAATTATTTATTTTATTTTGTATTAATTATGTTATTAATAAAATAATTATTTATTTGTTCATTAATTAGTTAATTAATTATGAGAATTAATTAATATTGTAATTTTATTAGTTTATATTTAGTATTAATATTTTATTTTATTAATACTTACAACTTTATTAATAATTTTAATATTTTATTCCAAAATATTAATTATTAAATCATTTTAATTGATTAATATTTTTGTTAGTTACTTATTAATTATTTTTAATTCAATGATTTTATTAATATACTATTAAATTAGTAGTAATTTATTAATGGATCATTGTCTTATATTAGCTCTTAGAAATACTACATTATAAGGAAGGTGTTTCTTTTTTTTTTTTGTTAAACAAGTTTCCCCTCCATACCCACTTGTTTTTCATCAAAATGGTGGGATTCTACATCCCAAGAATTGGAACTATAATTCCACCTTTTTTTCCCATCCCATCTCATGACAACTCACAACCAAACATGAGAAGGGATAAATATTCCATATTTTTCCTTCCCATCCAATAAACTCAATAGAGCCTAAAAAACAAATTGAGCCATAATTATCTAATGGTCCCTAAGACTTAAAATTCATGATAAGAACTTATGAAATAATTTACTTTCGATGATCTAATGATGAACCAAATGTCATCCAACAATCCAAACCATAGAACTCAATGCCTCAACATTTGTCAACTAATCTTTGAAATCCAAGTGATGTGCAATGGTTTCAAGAAATTAGAAACCTAGGCTATGGTTGTCAGTAAATTAGGTTAAGTGATAAACCCTCCTTGAGAGTTAGAGCCTTCCCTCTCAGGTCGGGTTTAGGTAAATCTTAATCCGGTTTAGGGTCATGTTTAACGTAAGACTGATCGAACTTCACTAAAACAACTTAATTGTTCATATAGTGACATTATATTAGTTGTACTACTCATTGGATGGGTTTGGAAGGAGACAAATTTGGCATCCTCAACCTAGGCCATAGAAGTGATATAGTAAATGATATACACACTTATTTTGTTCATTGAAAATAAATGAAGTACAAAATTAAAAAAGAAATTACAAGCCATGTAAAATATATACCAAACTAATCCTGGACCATCACAACGATCTTTCAAGACCAGAGCATTAGTCTCAAAGACCCACTTGAGTTACTAAGATTCAACAAATCTATGCCATCCGAAAAATAAAGGGTACCAAATCAACACAAAAAATCTAGGCTATCAAATTGGGCTCCTAAAAGCAATTAATTTGTTTATAGTCATAGTTATTCTTTTTGTTTTATTATTCTTTTTTGTGTTATTCATTGGCTATGGTAGTAGGTGCATTTCTACCATTTTCGTTCTTGATAGGTTACCTACTTACCTATCCCACCTTGTCTCTACCCCTGTTTCAATTAATTCTTGTTCAGTTTCCTTGATGCCTTTGATCTACCCCTAGTTAGAGCTTTAAGTTTGATAGCTCTATTCTAAATTATCCTCTTCTTTGGCTTCTAGTTATTAGATCTGCTTTTTCACTATAAAAAGTAAGTTAGGGTCAGTTTTGAAAGAGTATAAGGCTACGTTTGGAAATGATGCAAATATGTAGAGTGTAAAACGGTTCATATAAATTGTAAAGTTGGATTAGTTTTGCATTGACAAATTTAGCTTCTTACCAAACAGACTTTTAGCTGTAATGGATGCAAAAATGAATTCCAATAAAGCATATGCTTTTTTTTTTATCAAAAGCCCACTTGAATGCAAATTTACTTCTTTTTTATTGATGTACTTTTATATCTTATTATCAATGTAAATATGTATTGATTTGTCATTTGTCAATGCAAAAATGTAATGTTGCCAAACACAAGCAAAAGTGAACAAGATCTAGTGCAAATTTACCCTGAACCAGGATTTACACTCCATTTGCATCGTTTCCAAACGTAGCCTAAAATACAAATATGTACAGTGCAAAACCTTGTTTTTTATATTTTTAAACCTTGTATTTGGACTGTACATATTTGTATTTATACTCTTCCCAAACTGAAAAGAGTACAAATACAAATATGTATGGTGCAAATACATAGAAAATAATACAAAATACAAGGTTTTGCATTTTACAAATTTGTATTTGTACTCTTTCCTAATTGAGCCTTAAGAATTCACTATAAGCAGAACTATATATGAGAGTTAAGTTGCTAAATTACTATAAATACTAATCAATTTCATATTCTTAACCATCTTTTGATGTTTACTGGCAGGAATGATGAGTCAGAGTTGATACAAGCTTTAGTTAAAAAGATTTCGACTGTTTCAAGTAATACTCCATTAGGTGTGGCAAAGTATCCGGTTGGCATCAGTTCTCGTGTAGAAGAGGTGATGAGAGTGTTAGATGTTAAATCCAATGATGTCCGAGTTCTGGGACTTATTGGAATGGGTGGGATAGGCAAGACTACCCTTGCTAAGGCTGTTTACAATAAGATGGTCTCTCAATTTAAGCACCACAGCTTCATTTTTAATGTCAGAGAAGCTTCAAGGGGGGGCTGCAATTTAGTTTCGCTTCAAAAGAAGCTTCTTCGTGATCTTTTCCCTACTGATGCACCGCCAGTGGATGACATCAGTAAGGGTATCAATATTATCAAACAAAGAATTCACGGAAGGCCCGTTCTGGTTGTTCTAGATGATGTTGATGATGCTAGAGTACTTGAGGCTTTAGTTGGTGGGAGAGATTGGTTTTGTGATGGAAGTAGAATCATTATAACCACAAGAGATAGACAAGTATTAGAGGACATTGCAAATGTATTCTATGATGTTAAAGTATTAAGCGGGACTGAGCCACTCCAACTCTTCAGTTATCATGCCTTTGGGAGGGAGAAAACTCCAGAAACTTTCATGAGTTTCTCAAAGGAAATTGCATCACTCACAGGAGGATTACCTTTGGCATTAGAAGTTTTTGGTTCTCTTTTGCTTGGTAACAAAGTAAAAAAGTACTGGGAAGATGCACTGGAGAAGTTGAGAAAGATTCCTCCATATGAAATCAAGGAGTTGTTAAAGATCAGTTATGATGCATTGGATGAAGAATGTAAGCGCATATTTCTTGACATTGCATGTTTCTTTTGTAGCATGGACATGAGTAGAGAGAATGCTATTGATATATTGAAGGGCTGTGGATTCCATGCTGAGACAGCAATCACAGAACTAGAAAAAAAGTCTCTCATAAGGATCATTGATGGAAATACCTTATGGATGCATGACCAGATTAGAGGCATGGGACAAAACATTGTTCAACAGGAATGCGTTGAAGATCCTGGTAAGCGTAGCAGATTGTGGGATCAAGACGAAGTAATGTCTGTTTTGGACATTGCAAATAAGGTATATATCTTCTCTTTCTCCTGTGCAAATCAATTTTCTAAAATTCTAACTATTAATGTTAAGAAAACCATAACAAGAATGGGAGTAGATGTGGAATATGATTCTTTTCCTTTAATTTATGTACTTATTGCATGTTTCACACTAGGGAACAAGAAAAATTGAGGGCATCATCCTTGACACTGGAGAGAAGAAAATAAAGAGGATATTAAGCTCTGAAGGATATTCTAAAATCATAAATCGTGGACGTCCTATTTCATGGTTGAAGGAAAAATTCAAGAATACATTCAGTTTTGAAGCAGAGGAGAAAGAGGTGAAACTTCGCACTGATTCGTTCGAACCAATGATTAATCTAAGGCTGCTTCAAATAAATCATGCTAACATGGAAGGAAGTTTTAAACTTATCCCTTCTGAACTGAGATGGTTAGAATGGAAAGGATGTCCTTTGGATGCTTTTCCCTCTGACTTTAGTACTCCAAAACTTTCTGTCCTTGATCTGTCCGAGAGCAAAATCAGACATGTATGGAAATCAAGATGGATGGGTGGACAGTACAAGGTAAACTTTCACTTTATTACATCACAACCTTAACTTAAAATTGCTTTCTTTGATATAGTGAATTTGCCAAGTGAACCCAGATTGCATAAACCTGGTGTAACCCCATATTTGTTTTTTCTGCACTAACGTAACTTTTATTGGACAGATGGCTAAGAAGCTGAAGGTAATGAATCTATATGGTTGCTATAATCTAATTGCTACACCTGATTTTGTTTGGCACCCCAACCTGGAAAAACTCATTCTGGAGCGTTGCACTGAACTGATTTATGTTCACAAATCAATTGGGGATCTAAGTATGTTGCGTATCTTGAACCTGAAAGACTGTCGTAATCTTATGGAATTTCCAACTGATGTTTCTGGATTGAGAAAACTTGAAAAGCTGATCCTCTCTGGTTGCTCCAATCTGAAAGAATTACCTACAGACCTCAGGAGCCTGACGTCTTTAACTGAGCTTCTTGTTGATGGAACTGCTATAGAGAAGCTACCTGATTCAATATCCTGCCTCACCAAACTTGAAACGTTCAGTCTAAGACGATGCCTGTCACTGACCCAACTACCTACTTCCATAGGAAAACTGGTTTCTCTAAGAGAACTCTATCTGGATGGCTCTTCTTCTTTTAAAGAAATACCAATTTCCATTGGCTCTTTAAAGAGTCTAGAGAAACTAAATTTAGCTGGTTGTAAATTGATAACTATACTCCCTGATTCCATTGGAAATATGGAGTCATTGCTGAGTCTTTTTCTTTCCAGCACTTCAATTAGAGAACTCCCTGATTCCATTGGCTTGTTATCCCATCTGAAGCTCTTATCACTTTTCCATTGTGAATCTCTTAGCAATTTGCCCAATTCGATTGGAAGATTAATATCTTTAAGTGAGCTTCACCTAGACTACACATCAATCAAAGGTCTACCAGATGAGATTGGAAAGTTGAACATGCTTGAGAACCTGGAAATGCGGTTTTGTAATTCACTGAGATGTTTACCAGATTCAATTGTTAATATCTCAAGTCTAACTACCTTAATCCTTAATGATGTCATCATAACTGAGTTGCCAGAGTCCATTGGGCAATTGGAGAAACTTAAGATATTGAACATAAACAAGTGTAAACGTCTCAGAAGTTTGCCAAGTTCCATTGGGAACTTAAAGAATCTGCACACCTTGCTAATGGAGGGAACTGATATAACAGATTTGCCAAGAAGTTTTGGGAATCTCTCAAGCCTAGGGGTATTGAGAATAACAAAACGTCTTCATCTTCAAAAGCCACAAAACATCATTGCAGAATATTCAGAGCAAACTATTCTAACTGCCCAACAGAACAAGTTCTTTGTTCTTCCAACCTCTTTTTCAAATCTCTCTTTTCTATATGAGCTGAATGCTCATTCTTGTGGATTGTCTGGTGAAATCCCTAATGATTTTGAGAAGCTATCATCATTAGAAACTTTAGATATAGGACGCAACAATATCTGCAGACTTCCATCAAGTCTGAGGGGCCTTTCTCTTCTCAGAAGTCTTATCTTGTCTCATTGTGTGGAGCTCAAGTCCCTCCCACCACTTCCATCAAGTTTGCTTCATGTTAATATTGCAAATTGTACTGCATTGGAGAGTATATCCGATCTGTCAAACTTGAAGAATTTGGCGCATCTGGACCTAACAAATTGCAACAAAGTAATTGATGTTCCAGGTTTAGAATCCTTGAAGTCCTTGAAGTGGCTTTATATGAGCGGTTGCACAGCATGCTGTTCAGTTGTGAAAAGAAGGCTTTCAAAGGTACTCCCTCTCTAAAACTTGATTGCTCACTATCTTGCTTGTTTGAGTTGTGTTGATCATGGTATCCAATCTCACTGTCTACATCAGTCTATACCTTACTTTTTTTATTGGTGACTTTTCCAGTTGATTGATGTAGCTGCTTAAAGTTTATAGTTTTTACTATAAAACGTGCACATAAAAGTGTATACTTGACTGAAATTTGAATTTGTTCCATAAATATAAGGAATATAAGGTAGGAAGAGGAGCACACAAATTAAACCCCTTTAACTCCAAACTAATTTGCCAGATGGATGATTTCTGGGTTGTTTAGGGACTTCTCCAATGATCTTGACTAGCATACCAGTTCCCTTTGAAAAATACCTAATGAAAGATTTATTTTAGCGATGTGATAAAGGGGTTTAAACTGAAAGTGATCATCCCATTCAACCCAATTAGGCGACAGCTAGAGGAACATATGGAGTCCAAAACCATGGCAACCTGTGGTAATCTAGATTTCCTTGCTAGGTGACCTGACTAGCTCCCCATATATCTAAATTTCAGGAGTGGGTTTTCCGGTTAGGTTGATTAGTGAAGATGGTTGGGATCCCTTTTGGCCACACATATTTCTGTTGCCCTCTAATCAATGAGCTACTGCTCATTGTTTTGGGATACTTTTCAAATTAAAATATTGAAACTCTAGATTCAGGAAAAACTCCAAAGTTAGATCGGTTCTGAGACTCATGTGAATTTGAGAGTGAACAGACATGGTTGATCCTGAATGGATGGTCTGGCCAGTGGCCACATTGCAAAATATGCATATGAACTGCAACATTCGTGAACATGTAAAAAATATTATGTTTCTTGATCATCACAGGTTGCTCTGAGGCATATACGCAATTTGAGTCTTCCTGGAAGTGATATCCCACATTGGTTTGTTCAAGAAAGCCTGAATTTCTCAAGCCGCAGAAACCGTAAGATCAGGAATGTGATTATTTGTGTTGTTATCTCTCTGGACCAACAGTTGCAAGATGATTTCAGAGAAGCAGAGATTGTAATACCAGATGTTATAGCAAGTATCCTTAGAGAGCCTGGTCCTCGTTCAATATTCAATACTGCATTGAACTTACAAGGAATTCCAAAGACACATGAAGATCAAATTTACCTGTGTCGCTATCCTGATTGCAATCCTCTGGTTTCTCTGCTAGAGGATGGTGATAGGATACAAGTAAAAATGCGTGATCCACCATTCATTGGAGGTCTTCAACTGAAGAAATATGGGACTCATCTGGTTTTTGAAGATGATGATGACTATGATTATGGTGACGATGATGCAGAACCGAGTCATGAAAGCCAGTTATCTGTCTCAGAGAAACTAGCAAAGTTTTTCAGATCTTTGGAATGATTTTACCATTGATTTGATTTGGTTCTCGTGGAACTCAAAGACTGCAGATGAAACTATTCAGCCTTTACTGTTTCCGTTTGGTCTCTTGGTGCCCCAAAATAACCTTGTTGGTGTGCTTTCTCGTCTTATGCTCCCTCTCCTTCATTTGCAACTTGCAAGAATATCTGGGTTTGAGAACTGAGATCGATACAAGTAACTTAATCCCAGCAGGAGCATGATTCAGTGTACTGAGGTCGTTATTCTGGAAAGATATACTTTTTGTTACTGCACTTAATGTCGTAAAATTAAAAATTTGAAAGTTGTGTTATATGTTACGAAAGACATTCGTAATTATTGGGCATGAAAGCTATATTTACAGATTAGAATAACTATGAATGACTACAACGTTTCCACTTCTTGTCTTATGCTCCAGAACAAGTAATCTCATTTATTAATGCCCATCTTACAAATATCATGCGGGATTTCCTGCAAGCAAAAACTTGCACACTCTTCAGCCATATATTGGGAACATCTCCCTCTGAATTTAGCATACATGTGCTGGGAGATATTCCCGATGTGTGGTAGGATGATGTACAATTGTACAACTGTTGCCTAAATGTTGCACAATTATGATGACTAGCAACCCAGGTACTGTTGTCAAGGTACATGCTCCACTAGAGTTAGAAGACATGCATAATTAACACATTTAAACAGATCTTCATTTGTTTGGAAGGTCCTAAACATGGATCCTTAAAAGGATTTAGGAAGATTCTTAGGTTGGATGTATGGGTGTCACATGAAGATTGATGCAATTGGAAGCATGGTTTTATCAATTGTTAGCTTTGATGGGGATAATGGAATACTACCCATTGCTTATAGTGTTGTGAAGAGTGAAACAAAGGAAAGCTAGTTTCACTCTTGATTGTCCATTTAGAGACTATAATCTTGATTGTCCATGTGTGTACATGTAATCTTAATTGTCCATATTTTCTATTAAAGTGATAAGGTATGGTATGTATGAATATTATACTATGGGTGGTGTTGATGGATGCAAGGTCATGCACATGCTAGGTGTATGGGATGCTAGTGGCATCCCATGTGGACATGCATTGATTGTGCTAGCTTAAACAAGAGACAAAGTTGAAATTTTCTGTGACAAAGTGTTCTTATGTCCACCTATGTGAAATATATAGTCACTTTTTGCATGTCATTCAGAGAAAATTACTAACCACAAGTAGGAGATCAGCCAATCAACCTCCAACGTGAAAAGAAAGCATAAGTAATCACTAGTGGTCAGAAAGAGGTAAGAAGGTAAAGTGGGATCAATAAACCATGATAATCTAAAAATGATGGTGAGATGTTCTTTTATTGTGCACAACAGGTTCGATAGCATGGGGAGAGGGACCCCCTTCTATCCAAAAGCTATAAGGCATGATTTTTAAAAATGAACCGGTGATCGAACTGGTCAGGGATCCGGTTATCAGTTCAAACGGTTTGACTGTTTGACCCGAATGGCTGATCTGTTCTGACAAAAAAAATTTTAAAAAATTAAAAAATTGAAAAACGGTCAAAACTGTTCGAACGGTTAACCAGTCGGTTCAGCGATTTGCTGACCAAAATCAACGGTTTTGAGGGAAAAAGTGGTTTTAGAGAAAAACGGAACCGGTCAAATAACCGGTTCTCAGTTTTTCTGGTCCAACAGTCCGGTCCGGTCCGATTTTGAAAACAGTGCTATAGCTATAAGGTGCCAACCATATTTGGTCCTTAGCAGAAAAGATAAATAAAGTACAAAGGTTTTTTATGTGGTTCAATAAACTGCCTACTCCACACGTAAAAATGAATCAAAATCAATTTACTAAAAAATCCTAATAGGAGATTATAAAAAGGACAAAAACTAGAGAAGCCAAAGATTATTCCTCTTGCCAACAAGAAAAACACCCTTTTGACCTTACTACATTTCTCACAAGAACTCAAAATCAAAACCAAGAGAAAACACCAAAAGCCAAAATACTTTGTTCACCAAGATTTTCCAAAGATCAACTATCAAAATAACCCTCACTAAACACCCCAAATTCTCTCTCTCTCTCTCTATATATATATATTAAACAATAGTCAATTTCCAAAAAAATCATAACCCAAACAGTTACTTCCACTTTTTCCTTTCTTTCTTAATTGGTTAGTGTGCTATCCAAGATACATCCCCAACAATCTCCACCTTGACTTAAATATTACTAAGCCATGAATGATTCTTCTTTTGTTTTCTCCTACAAAGCAACAATGTTAAACATTAATCAAGTCTAAGAAAGACTTACCTCTCCAAAACAAAGCTCTTAGTCATTAGCAAACAAGTTATGATCCCAACTTCAAATATACAAAATCACTTTAGTTGAATGCACCAATACTCACTCAAATTCTACATTCTAAAAGTTGTTTGTCAACAATCAAAGCTTGCTTGCTTGCATTGATCATAACATGATTAATCGTATGTCCAAACCTTGTAATTAAAACTTTTGGATTCAAATCTTTTGAAAATTTCCCCTGCAATGGTGTTGCTAATGAATACATACAAATTCCTAAATTTTCTTTTCCAATGTAACATTAATTGCACCCATTTAAACCTTTATAATTCCATCTTGAACAACAAATTGCGTTCTTTTGAGTTTAAAATATTCAAAGAAATCAATTTTTTCATTAATATCACTTTTAGGAAGTGAAGAGAATCAACAAAATTGAGGGGCTCATAGATGTGCATAATAAATACATATTAGACTTGGACACTACCTTTAACCCAACAATTTCCCCCATGTATATAAGTCCAATACATGACACGTACATCCCCCAGTCTTGTATATAAGTCCAATACCTTTGTTTTCCCTTTCTAACGTGACACGTACATCCCAACAATTTCCCCCATGTGCATCCATCAAAACTTGTACCCAATTTAACCATTACTTTTGATACCAATGTTAGGAAGTAAAGGTAGTCGATATAACTAAGGAACTCATATGCATGTATAGCACTTACATGCAAGAGTTGTAAACCACCGATTAAGCCACTTAGGTTGTGGGCTAACCTTGTATTTAAGTTGCATGACTCTCTTTTCCCTTTCCAATGTGGGGTATTACCAACTTAGATGTGCATCGTAATAATCAAACCCCATGTGTGAGTTTCTTGTTATCCACATCGAGAACTCTCTTCTAAATAAAAACCACTAACATATCATCAAGTTTGACACACACCACACCAAATGTTCTTTCTTAAAATCACTTGTAGCCCACACTCAACCACCGACTGCCAACTATCACCAAATGCTCTTGCAATTTTGCAAATGACTTACCAACCATTAACAAAGCCATGGGAGTCACCACATGCACTCCTTAGAACTTATGCCTAGCTGGCTCATTAGTTCTAGCTGACCCATGAGACACCAAAATCGGAAGGTTATATGCACACTTAAGACTTACAAATAAGAATTGGATACCAACTTTAATCAGAAGATTAAGCTATTAGGTTGTGGTCAAACTTGTATAAGTTCCATGCCTTTCTTTTTCCTTTTCAATGTGGGACACATCCATTCACACATGCATCCCAACAATCTACCCCATGTCTGAATCCCTTGTCATCCACATCAGCCACTCCCCTCCCCCCAATTAAACACTCAAAAATAAGCACAAATTTTGGGCTTCTCAAATAAACACTTATTTGGACTTATCGCTTACTGGTATGCTCCCGGCACAAAATAAGTACTTATTCTAATAAGCACTTATTGTTAAGCACTCCCCAACTTCACCCTAATGAAGAATTTTACAAGATAGAAGCTACTAGAAATTGCATTGCTAAGATGTGCTCCAAGCCTCGTCCTGCTAACTAAATCAACAAGAGACATTACTTGCTATTGAAGACTTAGGTTGTATTTGGTACCATTTCCACCTCGGTCAGTTAATACAAATTTTATGAAAATATATATTTTTTATCACAAATACTTTTGAGTTATCATTACAATATTTGGTTCCGTTGTTGTTTATTCAAAAAACATCAAATTTGATGTTTCAAATATAAATGCCAATACCCAAATCATTATGCCTATATTTTTTAGCGAAAATGGTTATCTGATGTAATGCGATAAGACAATTTCACAAAAATTTGTATTAACCAATCTAAAATGGTGCAAGTAGAAGTATCAATAGTATTCAAACATAAACACAACATTAGCTGTATTCAAATTCAATCCAATAAAAATTGCAACTCTACTGACATTACCACCGACTTAGATGCATGAATTCTAGCGCTTTCAACAATACCTTTTCATTTCGTGGGGGAGACATTTTCATAAGAAAATATATTCTTCAGTTCACCACTTTCACTCCAAAAAGAAATGTTTTTTCAAGAACACAAATTCATGAGTTTTGATGATTAATCTACCAGATGCCAACCCATTTTTCCATCCAGGTGCAATGGCAATTCAGTAGTTCCAACCATGTTAATTCATGTGGGTCATTTATGATTATATTCTACACATATAGGCGTTACTAAAAAACAAAAGAAAACTGCAGAAAGTTTATGAAAATAATAAAACATATATGTCTAATTATACGTTGTCTCGTTCAATTCAACAGATAACTGACCAAGCTAGCAATGGTTTTAATAATAGAAAAAGACTTAAACCTCCCTTGAATTTTCACATAAATACTGTAACTTCTCGTCTCATTACAAAATGGATTAAAGTCTCCCCTATTAGATGATATTATTTAACAAAGACCTCCCCTCCGTTAGTAATCTGTTAAGATTTGCATATATATATAATGTTAAAGTTTTTCAAAAACCTATTTTGGCCCTTTTCATGTGAAGCAAGAAAAAATATAAAAACAAATCTGATGTTCTTATTTTCTAATATTTTCGATAAATTCTGAAACCGCTGCAAGATTTGACCATGCAAATGAGATTCAATCTGTAGAACTTTGCAAAAGTGGAATTTGGGTGTTTTACAATTGGACCGTTAAACTTGTAAAGATTAGGTTTTCGTGCAGAGTGAAGCTCAGCTCCAGTTGGTTAGTTAGATCGCTAGATGATGGAGAGTTTTTCGGTGGTTTGTTTCTTTTGTTTTGGTTGTTTTCCATTTTTCACACAAAAAAAAAATAGAAAAAAGAAAAACATGTACAATATAAGATTATAACATTTCCCATAAACATAAGAAAACAAATATTAAATTGTTAATGCCAAACCTATCATCTGTCAACGGATTGTGAAAATCAAATGAATTAGCATATTTAACTAGGGGTGTAAATAGATCAAATTCGAACAGAATCAGGTAATATTCGAATTGGAATCTGATTAGAAAATTCAATATCTGAATTCAATTCAATATTCGATGGATATTGAAAATTAACATTCAAATTTGATTAAATATTTGAATATTCGATTCGATTCGATTCGAATTTGGCCAATTAATTATTTTAGGTAATTAATAAATATATAAAATAAATATTTTATTTATATAAAGTATATAAATTATTTATATAATTTAATTATTATATTATATAAATTATATAAAACATTTAAATATTTCATATATTATATATAAAAATTAAATAATTGATTGAATTCGGATATTTATCAAATCGAATCAGGTCATATCTGAATTCGATCAACTAAATATTCGAATTATCCAAATTTGATTCGATTATGTTGAAGCTCGAATTCAAAATTGAATTTTGGAATACTATTGACACCCCTATATTTGATAATCTAAGCTTAATGGTTTAAAGTCAAATTGAGCTATAACCAAAATAAAACTCCAATTGAGTTAAATGAGCATTAATTACTTAGGGCCCATTTGGCGCATCTTTTGGAGAAGATCTTCTTGTAGCTCTGATAGTCAAAAACACATTAAGCTTTTGACATAAGATCTGGGCAGCCCAAAGACAGTTTGATAGACACGCATCTTTCCGTGCGTCTGCCCACGTCTTTCCGCGCGAGATTAAAATGCGAAAAACATGGGAAGCTTCCTGAAATCAGCCTGAAATGGGCTTCTCACGTCTTTTCGGCACACTGTCTTTTGGTGGCTAGATCTTCCACGAGTCAAATGGGAATTCCCAACTTGTAAACAACTGAAAGACTGCACAAAAAGACATGTCAAACGAGCCCTTATCTTTTATCTTCTCAAGGAAATGGAAGTGTTGAAAATTGCAACAAATCCTGATCGATATATACTTGAAACTAGTATGAATAGGGTGGTAGAGTTGCCTGGTTTCAACTATTGTTGCTTGAAATGGGACGAAAATTTGAAATAAAAGGGACACTTTGTAGCAATTCCATTGTTTTAAATTTTAATGATTTAACAATGATAAAAAGAGATTTTTTAATCCAAAATGAGGGAAGCGAGAGGTTTAAATAGGGGTGTCAACAATATTCAAAAATCCGATTTTGAATTCGAGATTCGACATAATCAAATTAAATTTGGATAATTCGAATATCTAATCGATCAAATTAGAATATTTTATTCGTATTGAATAGCTAATCGGATTCGAATCCGGATATGACCTGAATCCATACAATAAATATCCAAATTCAACTAACTATTTAATTCTTATATATAATATATGAAATATTTAAATGTTTTATATAATTTATACAATAAAATAATTAACTTATATAAATAATTTATATATTTATATACTTTATATAAATAAAATATTTATTTTATATATTTATTAATTACCTAAAATAATTAATTGGTCAAATTCAGATCGAATCGAATTTGAATTCGAATATTCATTTTAATATCCATCAAATATCGAATCAAATTCAGGTGTCAATTTTTTTAATCGGATTCAGATATTACCTGATTCGATTCGAATTGAATTACACCCACCCCTGAATTTAAGTCTTAAGTATTTAGGAGAAATTTGAACGGAGGTTTAAGTCTTTTACCCTAAAAAAAAATTAAAAAAAAAACAGATTTGAGATTAATCCATACTGAAATTATGACCAACAGTTTCAAACTTATCTGAGCCGGTGACGGGACGAAAACATCGTTATGTGAGGATAGACTAATAAGTTTTTCCGGTATCATGTTTTTCTGGCATCATAGTCGAAACACATTTACTCGAATTCCTCTCAATTTCTGCATTGTTTGATTAAAGATTTGAAGCAAAGATGCATCTCCCACTTATTACCAGTAATACGAGTTAAAAACAATTTTTGGAGGCAGGCGAGGAGAGTCCAATTGATGCATATGGTGGCAACTTCTACATATGCAAAGCTTTTGCAACTCTACAGGTGGTCTCAGACTCCTTGACCTTGACATTGCTGCACCCACTTTCTGCATGATCTGGCAGATCTGCTGAATTACTGTAATCTGTATGCCTTGGCAAAAACTAAAAGAAAATTGAAAAATGAAGAACCATTTCCTGGCATTTTTGCGGCTGTATTAAAAGTGAAGCCACTCTGGGATCTTGTTCTAACAAGGTAACACCATTCTGTACAAAACCTCAGCTCTCCTCTCTTCACATACTTGTAATCTTTTATGGGGTAAAAAGTTTGATTCGACAACAGTTCAAGCGGCTTTAATTAACCTGCTCGCCACTAGCAAGTCGTCGCTTTTCTTCCTCTACTTGCTCAAGTAATGCTTCAAGCTCTGCTTCAGTTAGTCCCTCTAACCGCTTCTGCAAGAATGAACCTTTACTTGAGTCTTGAGAGAGAGAGAGTCAATGATCAGTCAAGTAGAATACCGAGACAGATGATATTGATCAAGCAGAACATTAAGATGGCATACCAACTTCTGTCAGAGCAGATACAATCTTGATACAACTTACACCTTCACAAGGTCATTCTGGACCGCCAATAGATCCAGGAGTAATAACTACTCCAAGTACCACCACCATTCACTTACCAAAACTTCCCTCGACAGGACAGCTTTCACTGAAATCCAATCTAAAACTATCTTCTACCAACAATGAAGCATGAATGGGATGAATACGGTTCAGCACCAACATTAATTGTATGGAGAAGAGATAACTATATAAACAAATAATATGAATAAACTAAGACCGTCATAGTATTCTGCTATATGCCATTCGATAAGACTACCAGAAAATGTGAACATCCAGGAAAAAAAGGTAACAGACTAATAGGATATTGGTGATTCACTCTCTGCACACCCCACTTAATTTGCCTGCGTTTCTAAATCCACCATTATCCCATTCAATGAAGATGTTATAATTAAGGATTTGAGATTTCAAGTGCAGAAAATCATATTTTTTAATTTGGACAGGTAATTAGAAAAGCATCAACCATATTGGTAATTAAAGAGAGTGCATAATCAGAAAAGAAAATTTTAAGCAGAAGTTGCAAACCTCCATGACTTTGTTTTCATAATCACGTAGCTGCTGGGCATACGTCATTTCCTTGTTTGAGACTCTAAAGATATATGTAGAAATCCATCCAACTGTTAACCCCAAGACCATCACCAGTTGAACTACATTCCCAGCTTGTAAAGGATCAAATCCAAAAAACTGCACAAAGAAAAAGACAGACTATCAGGACCACGCCATGCGCTACGCAACTCCTAAAGAATTGTGTAATCAACCATACCATATCCATTATAGACATCAGATATTCAAATGAAGTTTCATGATCCTTTTGTTTGAATTCTAAAATAAAAGAAATTGAAAAATAAGAAGCAAGAGGGCAAAAATAATATAATGCCATATGATTTGGAGTTCCAAATAAATTACAATTACAGGTAGAAAGCTTGTTACTTCCCCTGAACATGGTTAGAATCAAATCAAGCAATATCCAAATTCGACTCAATATCTGATGGATGTTTAAAATTAGTATTCAAATTAAACCGTTAATTATTTCAGGCAGTTAATATATATTTAATATAAATATTTATCTATATAGTATATAAATCTATAAATATTTATATTTTTAAATATTATATATATGAATTACCTAAAATGTTAAATATTTTATATATTATATATATGAATTGTATAATCGGTCAAATTTGTATATTTATCAAATTGAACTAGATTATAGCCGAATTTGATTCAATTTGTTAAACATGAATAGGATACCGTCAATATTCAAATTCAACCAATTATGATATTTGAATTATCCAAATTAGATTCAATTAATGTCAAATCTCGAATTCAGAATTGGATTATTGGATACTGTTGACACCCCTAGTTAGATTCTTAGGTATAGATCTTAAGAAATATGAAGTCCTCCCATGCAACCCAGTGTTGCATGGACATGAACATAGGAACCAGAATCTAATGCATGTCACAGAGTCTGACTCAGCAAAAAGAATAAACAAAGGCTTCTGGACACCTTTATGTAAAAGGTATTAACCATTCAAGTAGTCCTTATTTTTTCAAATCCTATTATTATATACCTATAAAAGGATTTCGAATCTTGTCTTTGTTACTTAATAATGTTCCTAAAAATGGCATTAATTATGCATATTAGTTATTCATTATGTAAAATTCACAAATATATAAAAGAAAACGCTATGTTTAAGTGTCCATCAAGAACCCTTGAAGAGTCAGAATCTGACATGTGTCTGACATAGACATTTCATCCACTTAGGAGAATCCATGCAACACTAATGCAAATATCAATATCATCCATCCAAAAGTCTTAGATACAAAGGTATGAAGAATGTTAAGTGGAATGTGACCCGTCAAACTATAATTCTGTGGATGAAGAAACAAGGAGAGGTCCCTTGGAGATTCAGACGTTTGGTTGGAAGGCACTAATCCTAGGTAACACTTTGAACAGCTCATTCAATTGGGTTGACAGGAGTGCAAATATCTTGGCTGACTCCTTAGAAAGAACAGGGGCTGTAAGGGATCATTTGGAATGGGGCTTACCAGGGCCAGGAGTTAATTTGTTATTCATTCAAATTGTTGGAATTGTATTCTTTTGGCTGTCCTCCTTTTGGGGCAGTTAAGAGTTGATTCTAGTGAATATATTGTTATTTATCAAATAATGTCTTAGAGATAACAAAATACAAATTCAAATCCATGAATAGATAATTTATGAACTAATAAAGGAGAAAACACATCTTAGATGATGTTAGGCTGCATGGATAAATGAAGTGAGCTGAGGTACCTCCAAGCCACTTTTCAAGGCAATACCAAACACAGTAACTCCAAACCCAATCAATAAAACATCCTTCCTTGTGTATCCAAATGGTACCTGTCATTCAGAAAACTCAGATATGACTACTTATGTCCAAATCAATGATATTGCAACCCAAAAGAAATGAGTACTGAGAGAACTCCAAAATTTAAGATTCCCTATGTTTAACTTAACACATGACACCCTCATAAGAATTCCATTTATGTCTTAAACAACCACTAATCCTCTAATGCAACTTATTTCTCTTGGTAGCATCTCTGTCTTTAGTGCATATGCACTTGCTTGACATAAGATGAAAGCCTAGACATAACTACCGATATAAAAGAAGGCTATTACCAGCTGTTGATACAACTACCAAGATGAGTTCTATAATGTCAGGATGTCTGGTGGCCCAAGTTCTATATAGCCCTCTACATAAGAGTTGGATGGTTATGGATACGCAATATATATAGGTTGCAAGCATGAAAATGTGTGTTTAAGTCTGAGAGCTAGAAAATATTTATGACACATTTATTAATAACTATAAATAGAAAGAAAGCGAGCAGTGTCATAAAAGGAAATATATAGGACACCTACATGAAATCAGCTTCAGTGCTCACAAGACCATGCTCACACCGTTCGCACAGCCCCTTGCAGCTTTGCATTGGAAATATCTCCCCATGAAAAAAAGCATACAAGTACGGAGATATTCCCAATCCAAGACTGCAAGGGACTGCAAACAGTGTGAGCACTGAGGCCAATCTACACTCACATGCATTCTTTGATCACTTTGATTTAACACTAGAGATTACCGGTGTGAACTTACAAAGGATGTAATAAATTCATAGTGGTGACCATGCTTGAGACTTCATCTTAATTTTATAGTTTTCTTTGAGAATTAAGAAAATTAAAGATCTGTTGAAGCTGACACCCATCATCTCTTGCTACATTGAATTAAACATTAAACTCCATTAAGAGAAAAAAGTATATAGATAGAGGTAGACCCTAATCCTACTAAGTGTAGTTGTTGCTAAAAACATAAAAACAAAAAAAGAAGATGCTTTCCCTTGGAAAAGGGATCTTGTCTCTGCATATTCCCTATAAGGTCACTTTCCTTGTGTAGATGGTGATCCTTGATAAGATGGAGCAGATTGCTCCAAAGATACACCTGTGAAATCATAATCATCCAAGCCTTATCCCAACCATATGGGTCAGCTACATGAATAATTTCTTTGTACTTCGATCCATGTCATTTTGAGCCTACCCATACCCCTTCTAGCCCCTTCAACTTGCAAGTTGCAATAAATTGCTTCTTCTTAGGGCTGCTGTCAAATGTCTTCTATGTGTGTGACCAAACCAATGACATGGATAGGGGCTTATTGAAGGAATCACCTTTTCATTCTTCTTGGGAAGAATTCAGCCTCCTCAAAAGATCTCTTGGGGAGAAGTTTCTCTTGAAGTGTCTCCCTGTTTACCGAATGAATTTAAGGAGCAACCTTTTCAGTGTAAAAGCTCCATATACCTTTGCTGTTTAGTAGGGTTACAAGGATGCTCTTCTTTTGCTCATCTACCTTGAAAATTGTTCAAGGGATTTAATTTTTAAAATTTTAGAAACCAATTGGAACCATTACTTGTATAATATAATACCAGAAAAACAATCCAAGAAGAAAAGAAGGTTGCTGAATAGAAGTAAAAGAAGAAAACTGTGCAATTGTGGGTTCACCCACTTCTACTCCTATTATTTCAACAATTTGCAATTCTTTTTCAAAACAATGTATATGTACCTACAGTCAAAGCAATGCTGTTGTCATAATGGGACTCTTCACTGTTGATACTTATACATTTGCAGTATGAGAAAGAAGATCTGAGGCAAGTCCAAGGCTCTTTAAGACAAAGGGAAGATGAGTATTGTTGTATGAGAAATGAATCAAGGACCTCTGAACTAGCAGACCCACAGAGAATGGATGAATGCATCTCAATACATGTAGCAGACTCAAATTAGGTGGAGTAAGGCTAGATGGGTGTTTTATATCAACATCATTCAAAATACAAGGTATTCCTGCAGTTGTGCAGTTTGGAACCGTCTAAAATTATACGAAGATAAAACCTCATACAGATAATGAAATCGAAAACAGCATTATATATACAAATACATTATACAAAAATGAACAAGAAGTGGTTAGATGTATCCAGACCTCTCAAGAACAACTTCTCCCATATAGATAATGTAGACTATTATTCATTATCCTCATTTTTTTCTTTTGGCTCAGTATGGAAGAAGTACAAATACAAATATGCAGAGTACAAAACCTTATATTTTGTATTATTTTGTATATATTTGCACTGTACATATTTATCTTTGTACTCCTTCCAAACTGAGCCTTTAGGAAAAATGGCACATTAAACACGATCTTAATATTAGTATCTTAATTGATTTCTCTCAAAATAGATGTCACATTGATTTCTATAATTTCTAACATATTCCTACTTTCTTCTCTTCAAGTTCTTTTGGCTATGCTCTTACCATATGAATGATCAGAAAATTTGAAAAAGATCATGAAGTCTCCCTTGTATCATCAGAACCAAATCAATGTGAAAAATATGGTGGGTAGTAAATTATAAGTGTAGCATGTTATCATTACAAAGAAGATTAACTGTTTTCTCAATGATATACAGAACAGAAGCTGATTGAAAAAATGATATGCAGAAAAGAAATCCTCTTTCCCTGCATTAAACATTAGTTTCCACTTCAGACAACAAGCATAATTAGCAGACTTTCAGAGCACACACAACACAAAAGCAATGGAACCATCAGACCTAATTGCTTATACTTACCTTGTTGTCATCAGAAGCTTTAATGTCATCCTCTTTGCCATCAGTTGATGATCCACTGCTCCTTGGGTTTGTAGAGAACACCTTTCTTGATATGATGCTTATAGTGCCTTTTGTCAGAGTGGGAGAAGGTACCACTGGATACGAATTCTGAGAAGTAACTCCTATAAATACCAATTAACTATGAAGGAATCAAGACGAATGCAGTTTTATAATGAAAGGAACTTAGAGTTCAACAACATGAACTAATACTCTAAAACATGTGGCAAGCAATTGCTCTATACACTCTATGTTACTAGTTGGGATTTTAGAGAAGCAATGACAAAAGAAATAAAAGAAAATCCAAAGAAACAACAAAGAGAGTTTTGCTTGGTGAGCATATCCATGGACCCAAGCTTTTATCAAGACTCAATTATGCATAAATGTAGAGGTGGATAAGTTAATATTACCACTAATAAATCCTATCTAGGAAATCCTCTGCACCAATTATAATGACAATTGGATGATCCGAATTGTCCAATTTATCACAATAATTTGGATGACCAAAAAACAGGCCACATAAATACAATATCCACTCATGTCATTTTTGCTTTAGATTTCTTAGGAAAAACCAAAGTTATGGGCTTGTGGTAGATTGCCTTTTGCGCCCTAATCCAAGTGTTTATCATTGATTAAAGGGGAAAAAAATTAAGTTGATGGTTTTTGAAAATAAAAACCAATTAAACCATATAAGTAGAAGAGAAATGCTTAAGCTAATAATTACATTTTTCATGCTTAGCCAATATGACCGCCATTCATGCCTATTAGTTCAATTCTAATCCCTTAGATCCTAATCAACCCTTCTATGATACATGGTTCAAGATGCATGCCTTGTCTAATGTTGCAAAATCCAGTACAAGTTAAATTCTAGTGGCTTATCCACATCATAAATTTGACAGATAATACATTTTCAAAATAAAGTAAAGTATGAAGCCTATGTAGAATTAGAAGAAATATTTTACCACTGATGTAAACTTGCATAAGAACTTTAAAGATGCACTTGCAGGAATAAATATATATAAATATATATATATATTGAAAAAAATAGACCAATTTGGAACGTTATAAAACTACTAAAATAATATATATATATATATATATTGAAAAAAATAGATCAATTTGGAACATTATAAAACTACTAAAATAATGGGGATTTAAAAAGTAAATTACACAATTTAAAAACCTGGCAAAACACTTAGAAGACAAAATTTCTTATTTTGGTAAACAGAAATTTTAAAAACTTTTAGGGAAGTGGGGTTCAATTTTGCTCGTTCCGTGCTGGTATGTGTCTATCAGCATCAGCAGGATGCTCAGAATGACTAGTCCATTCATGTAAGGAGTGAAGTAAACTCAGGGAAGTGACTCCAGAAAAAAAGGGGAGTGTCTATAAAAGTTTCCTTAACCAATTTGAAGCTTCTAATTATCAAAATTCTGGGCACCTAAGAAATTTCTTTTAATCCTTGGAGTTTATAAGCTAGGGTAGCATCTAAACTGTTACTAAAATAAGCATTGATGGAAGCTCATGTACTGTAAGAACTATAACCACTTCTCCTTTTAATTCTGCACAAGTTACCCGGATTTATTTCTTCAGGAAGCACAAATATAATAAAATAAAAATAAGAAATTTGTTTCAGGAAAACGGTGGAACACTTTTTAAGAAAGAAATCTCCCCCGATATCCACATTAGAATTCGATTTTTCCCATTCTTTTTATCTTTTTTTTTTCTTTCAGGGGGTGGGGGGATGGTTGGCAAGCATGACGTTAATTGAGTCGGTAGATTTCCTTCAAAACAAAAAAAGAAAATCCATTATAACTGAACTACTGTTTCACTTGGCTTTGAATAGCAACTTTAAATTCCAGAAGAAAAGCAATAAGTAACTTCCTTTCCTTTATACTTAAGTTGAAAGAAAGAAAGAAGAATACACAAAAGAAATACTTACTAGGAAATTTGTGGACTAATGAAGACGGTAGAGGCAGTTTGCCACCTAATCTCGTTCTGGAAGAAAACCCATTTGCAGAAGCATCCAGAAAAACCAAAGTGGGAGGAGAAACAGAGAAACCCATATCCAGAGCCATGAGAGATGCTACAGCTACACTAGTGCTTCAAAACCCCGTTTGATAGATAATAAAACTCTCAGTGGTCTGATTTTTTTTTCCCCTCAGATGTCTGAATTGGGATCTCCTCTTTTCTCCTGGTAAAGCGGCTAATAGCCCATCACCACCCGTTGGAGGCATTAAATACCAGAATATCTACCACTTGGATCGGATGAATTTGCGCCATATGGGATGGGGGTAATATCCAAGGTTTTAATAGTACTATTATTATATGATTATATTCTACTATTATTTTGTAAATAATAGGGTAAAATATAAAAACCTCCCCCTGAAGCTTATGACAATTATAAAAACCTTCTCTTTAATTTTACTTTAACAAAATCCTCCTTTTAACTTTTAAAGAATTCAACAAAAACCTCTCTTTAATCATTAATTCAGAAAATAAGCATATAAAATTATAAAATTGCCCCTAATTAAGCCTCAGGACATCATTAAAAATATTTTATAATGCCAGGAACAGGAGAGGGCTTTCGGGCGGACCAAGGAGTCCACGTGCTGGGTGATTCTGGGGCATCTCATTGTTCATCTTCATCCTCACAACCTGCCCTGCAACAGCGAAAAGCATATCCCACACATCTTCTTTCCCATTCAATGGTGTGGACGGTGGTGAAGAAACCTGCCTGTGAAGGGCTATTGGGACTTCGACGGCTGGAGCCCCCACTGTGACCCAACTAGCTTCCAACTACGCAGAACATTGATTGTGGGGAACCCGCCATAGCCCATGTCATATGGTTGTCGGTAGCACAAGCAGGGGCAGCAAATTTATCATCATCCCGCAGCATGGAATGAGCCATCTAAGTAGTTAACCCAGTCAAGTAGCCATCCTCATCACTCTCGATCTCAGTGGAACCCATGAGGCCATGACCGACTCAACTGGGGAGCTGAGAGCCGAGGGAGATCCATAACATGCAAAGGCGTAGGGGAACTCAAAAGGAAAGAAGGGCCCAGCTTGGTCTCAGAGACAAAGCCCCTGTTACCGTTATTGTAGTTGATCTTCTCCATGAGTGTGTCACCGCCTGTGAGATCCATATTGTTTAAATTGCATGCAGAGCCAAATGTTAATGTATTGTAGTCATAAGAAGAACGTGGCTTAGTGGTTTAGAAACACATTTAAGGTTTAAGGCATCGGGCGCTCTTGTGACCTGAGTTTGAATCATCAAACATGTAGTTTTTTTATGGAGAAACACAGCATATAGATGCGTATCAGCCTGTACCAATGCATATTGGCTGATATGCATCTGTACCGCTGCAGTACATACGACTCAAATACCGCCATAGGCCGATACCAATAAGGAGCATATCGATATTTAAATCCTTGGTCAGTTGCAAGTCAAATAAGTTCATTAAATATTTATTAAAAAATTAAGTTCATTAAATAAAACTCTGCTAGTCTGCTTTTCAAGCTGATATCAATTAAGTAGATGTCAATGTTAGTTTACAATCTTTTGGAATCTCTTCTTTTACAGTTCAAGAACTCTCGTCCAAACATATAAGAGGAAACCAACAAGATATTGGTTTACACAAACACAAAGTAACAAAAAGAAGATAGAGAAATATTGCTTGAGACAACATAAGACTATTTGGGTACAAAAGTACAAAAATTACATTTAGCAACACATATTCACAAATATAACCCGAGTATTGGGATGAATCTGCGAGTAGCTAACTACAATTCCATACACATGAGAAGTCTCTGATCTTTTGACAAATGACATGATGCAGCTTCTACCATCTGCAGTCAATAAAAAAAAAAGAATCTATTAGGAAACAAAACCTAAATAAACAAGAACAGTCAACATTTGAATTTAAAGTAATCCATGAAAACAAACAAATGTAGTCTGGCCAGGCCAGCAGGATACATCCTAGATGACCCATTGACCAGCAACCACACCAGTACCATATTAAAAACCCTAAATTGCTATATGACAAGAAAAGGTGAAACTCCCATCAGAAAACCAGTTGTGATATGCCAATCAGGATAATGTTTGGACTATAGCCCATCTCTAACCAGTACGCAATTTTTTGAAGCCCCTATTTTTGTGGGGATACTTTAGAAGCTATAGGCTATAATCACTAGGACCTTCGAAAGCTATAGGCAATCTGAAATTGGAAGTACTTATTAGGTCTCTCTGTACTTTAGGTACCATTGAAACATCAAAATGACAGAAGAATGAGATCAGGAAGGGGAAACTAAAATGTAATAAGCCTTGACTACTTCTGAACCTCACAATCTCTTTTCTTGCACGTCCTCCTTTGAAATCCTTTTTGTCTCTCCCCATTTACCTATTGTGTTTCCAGTAAAAGCAATTTGGTTTTGTCCAACCCCTCCCAAGAGCATTTTGTTGGGAGGTGATCCACTTGAAAGTCAATACTTAAGAGGTCTCACAAAATAGAATGCTTCTCTGGTGCCTTCCACAGAAATGCTTCTTGTGTGATGCTAGCTTTGAATTTACTTTATTACTGAGAAAAGCTCCGAATTTACTAGTGTCCTACCCTTCTGTAAATGGTATTTGGAAGCACTTCTTTCCCCTTTTTGCTTTCAAGTGGTCAGCACTAGAAGATATTAATAGCTTATTCATTTCTCTTTTTCTTCTATTAGATAGAGGGAGAAGATTCTGTGCAGATATGCTAGAGTGGTCATTCTGTGGTCTGTGTGTGCAGAAAGAAATTCAAGGATTTTTAAAAACTAAAGGAAATCAAGAAGGCTATGGTTGAGCTGATCACATTAAGTAGCTTATTTTGTCAAGACAATGGATATTGTCAAGATATTCAATACAGCACAAGGCACTAGCAAACAGTTGTATCTTCATCATGTTCATGAGCAACCAAAATCAGAATTGTATTCCCCGTTGTTAATTACATCAAACTGAATGCTGATGGCTATGGTCTAGACAATCCTAGAAGTTCAGACATTGGTGGAGACTTTAGAAATTATCAATGGCAACACATTGATAACATATTCAGGACCTTTAACGAAAGGAAAATCTGTTCAAGCAGAGCTGCTCTCTCTATTACAATAATTGAAATTGAATTCCTTGAGATACATGAACATAGAGGTGGACAAAAAATGCACAAGTAACTATCAATTTGATGAGGAACAAGATTATGGTTCATGGAAATGTCATCATCAAATAACAGAAGTAAGATTATTGGCACATAACATGAAGTCATAAATGCAAGTTTTAGTTGGATCCTAAGATCAGTCTTTAATTGCCTCTTTGGCTAAAGAGGGAGAAAGACAACAATTAAGAAAAACATTGAATTCTTTTTTTTTACTGAAAAAAAAAAAGCATTGGATATAGGCCCAAGTTGAATGGCATACAAAGGGATTGGTTGTTCTAGACTAATCTTAGTACATAAATATTCAATACAACATTGCTGGCCTTAACTGTTTTATAGAAATATCCCAAGTGATATTTGCTCATCACATAAGACAATGAGGTATCTCTCCTTTTTTCCCAAACTCCAATCTCTGCTTGAAATCAATTCCAAATTGCTCCATTAATCCAATAAATCAACAAAATATCATTGTAAACAAAAGATATGGTACAATAACCTCAAGCTGCTTGACCAGCAGTCTAAGTATAAACAAGAAACTAGGGCTTCACCAATCCCAGGGGAGAAAGAGAGAAGATGCAGCCACTACCACCAGACTTTATTGAAGGCTTCCCAGTTGCTGTTGATCTCTAAATGGGTTCAAAACAATTCAAAAAAAAAAAAAAAACTGTGAAAGCCAGCCCTAAACTGCCTTTTTCGTGTTAAATTCGAATCAACCAGCAGTCTAAGTATAAACAAGAAACTAGGGCTTCACCAATCCCAGGGGAGAAAGAGAGAAGATGCAGCCACTACCACCAGACTTTACTGAAGGCTTCCCAGTTGCTGTTGATCTCTAAATGGGTTCAAAACAATTCAAAAAAAAAAAAACTGTGAAAGCCAGCCCTAAACTGCCTTTTTCGTGTTAAATTCGAATCAGGTCAAGTTTCTCTAGTTGGATATGGTTTTGGACAAAGGCTTCAGGGACAACTTCTTAGCCTCCAGACTGCAGCCAAAAACTTTCCAAGCACTTCTACCAACCAGGCAACATCAAAAAATGGTGATCAGCCACTTAATACCATACACCCTGCTGATTCTAGTAGAGTAGTCTCTAGAAAGAAGAGAAAAGAGAACTGGCTTGGACACCAAGATGTGATCCAGACCCACAGTTATTCTTTCAAATAAGCAGAAATTGATTTACTAAAAACAAGAAGAGAGAGTTCAGGACAGAGGAGAACAAGAAGAAAGAGGAGAATAAGTTGGGAGAAGGAATCAACTGTGGGCTGTCTAGCACTCCCTACTCCATATAATCAAATTGATTATTATTACTATTATTAATGTACAATGACTAATCTGCCCCTAGTAGGAAGCAGCAATAAAAGAAAATAAAAATGGCCCAAGTAGGGTCCATAACATAATCATCCAAATAACCAACAATAACAAATAAAAATAAGTCAAAGAACGAAGGCTCACAATATCCCTACAGCCCAATAACTCTCAACAGTGTTTAACAACAGAAGTACAATTAGAAAAACATGATACGAGCAGGCATATAAAAGCATTCCTAATGGTTCTTGTATTACATATAAAATTGACAAAAGAGAAATGCAACAGAAGATTGGTTCTGCTTCAAGGTTGAACATATTAACACTATGTCTTGGAACAAAACAATAGTACTGGAATCAAACCTCGAAACCAGTCTTTTTGTACAGTTCTTGGGCAGGTTTATTATCAGCATTTACATGAACAAATAGTTGCTTCATGCCTGTTGACCACGAAAGGGGTAAGTTGTGAGATTGGCTTAACAAATTCATTAAGTATATCACATATGAGGATGATTGCAGACTGGGAACAAAAGCTACCTGCAACAGTTGCAACATCAATAGCTAAGTAAAGCATATTAGATGCAATCCCCTGTCTCCGAGCAAATTTTGACACGCAAACATTTGCAATGTAAGCATATTTATTTGCATCATAGGCCTCATGACTTGCAAGGAACGGCATAGATCTTTTGAGTTCCTGAAGATAAGCCATGGTATGCCATGGAAGATCTCAATATATAATCACAAAAGTTTATAACTTAACAAAAAAATAAGGGTCAACATTGAAAAGTAGAAAAAATTTCAATCCAATAATAACATTTCTCCTATTTTCACTAAATTGTTAGGGAAGAAAGTAAATATGTCATTGTTAGAGGCTCATATCTCAGTCTATCATGTCACCCTCAAACATACAGGTCATCAACAACAGATATTGAATAAAAGTGGTTTCAAGCATGTACCCCTGGAAACGTTTCTCCTCGAAAGAATTGCCGTATGCTTACATCCAGAGTTCCCACAACACTACTCAAGACAGTGCGTCTTACATTTTTATCTTCCTTTTTAACCTGAAAAGCAGAAAAGCAGTTAGTAAAAACTCAAACTTATGGTGTATCTAAAGCGCAACAAAGATTAGCAGATAATATACTGAAGCTGTGGTCTCGATTGTACATAGTGATCAACAAAAATACTTATTTGACTATTTCCAGATTGCAACCTGATATCCCTAATCAAATATAGGTTGTCAATTCTTGACTCTGGCAACCTGAACTAATCATAGAATTGGCCGGTTTTATGATAATCATTCCAGTCAGGTTTGCCATTTGCTTACTAACAGCCCACCAGACAAAAGAGTTTGAAGAATAACTTTAGCCTCTAATTCTTGTTTTCTTCTAGAAAAGAGAACAAAGGATAAAAGGAAGAAGATGGCAAAAATGGGAGGAAAAAAAATTGGAGTATAAACATCAAATAAGCAAGAATAACTTCAGCCATAATTTCAAAAAATTATATACCTCTACACAAGTACAAAATGACAGATCACCCTGTAACCCCATATTAGTAATAGTGATTGGATTGGGAACCTCAGCCATAATTTCAACCAAGGACATAATAAGAACATTGGATAAAGTGGCAGAAACGAATAGACAGTTTGAGAATGGATTGGGAACCTCCAGCCAATGTTTTCAACCCCTCATTGACCCAGCCGGTCGAACCATTCAAACCGTCACCCAGCCAGGATTCTGGGTCCGATTCAGTCAAGACCCATCAGACGGTCAAAACCGTTGACTTGGTCAAGAACCATTTGACCCATCTGGTTCAACTGTTGACCTGTTTGACCCAGTGACCGGGTCGCGGGTTGCACACTCTATGCATGCAAAAATTTCGGAGGCCATAACTTTGCACTCTGATGTACGGTTGGAGTGATTTTTTTTGGGTAACTTTTCAAGATCTGTGTCCCAAGGGGCCATAGACACCTTGCCCCGCTATTTTCGCGAAAAAAAAAACCCCTTTTTTGGCCTCAAATTACAATTCTTAATATTTTTTATAAATAAAAAAATAAAAAACTGAATTAAAAAACATAAATTAAATATAGAATAATACATATAACATATCTGAAACATATTTATACATATATATGTATATGTATATATATATATATATATGTGTGTGTGTGTGTGTGTGTGTGTGTGTGTACTTAATACATATATGCACTAACATGGCACAATCTGAACCGTTTGACCCGGCTGGTTGAACCGGTGACCCGCAACCCGGAGGCAAAAACGGTTCGGCCTCCGGCTCGATTTTTAAAACATTGCCTCCAGCTGTAAATAGGCTAAAGCTTAACTTTGATGGCAGCTCTACGGGCAATCCAGGAAGGGTAGGTATAGGAGGAGTCTTTAGAAACCACAAAGGAGTAGTGGTGGCCTTGTATTCAGGACCAATTGGCATTGGAAATTTAGTTAACGCTGAAATAATGGCTCTGTTCCAAGGCTTGAGACTGGCAGAACAGCTGGGTGTTAGAGATTTGGAAGTTGAGGGGGACCTGCAATTAGTCATCTCTTGGACCAAGCAAGTCAATTCGGCACCTCAGATCTATAGACATGTTTTCAGGGAAATTAACCTCCTAGCAAAGAGATTTAATTCTTCGTTCAACTGGGTAAGACCTGCAAACAGGATGGCAGATGTATTAGCAAAACAGAGAGTTGATAGAGCCACTTTATTCTAGGCAAAATTGTAATCTGGTGTATCCAAGGCTGGTGGATTTTTCCAACCAAAGAAGGGCAGCCCAGTGCATGAGGTTCCCACCAATGCAGGGTCTGGGGAGTGATAGATGTATTACTCCTGCACATACAAAGAGGTTGTTTCCAGAAATTGTACTAAATTTCTGTTCTAATTAATAAATGAATTTCTTTCTTTGCTGATTGAGAAAAAGGAAAGGTCAAATCTGACATAAGAAAGAAACAAAGGGAGAAATCTATGGATGGCCTTCCAAGGAGAAGAAAGGGCAGCTCTACACAGAATACCAGCATCCCATCCATTCTCTGAGACCTGTGAATAACTGAATACTCATCACAACTTCAGTCCAAAGCTTTTCATTTTCCACCAGAAACCTCCAAAGCCGTTTCCAAAGAAGAGCCGATTTTTTCTTATCAATTGCCAATTCCCAACCCTTTCCTCCTACACACTATCTCCCACCTAATCAAATGGTCTTTCTTTCCATCCCTAGGTTCCCAAAAGAAATCCCCCATCACCTTCTCAATTCTTCTATCACTTGTGGCATCCTAAAAATAGAGACGTAATTTCTTTTCCAAGCTGCCAATCTGTTTTCTACTTTCTCCAAAACAAGACTCAAAAAACTAAAGGATTAGGGTTGGCACCTAAGGGAAGCCCTAAATATTTCAACAGCCAATCACTACACACCCTAATGCTGCCACCCACACCCTCAGCTCTTCCTTCTATATATTAAGTCCTGCAACCAAGCTTTTCCCCTAATTAACTTTCAATAGAAATCTTTTCAAATAACTTCACCACCAACCTTAAATTCTCAAACCATTGTTTGTTTTCCCCATTATAAAAGATAATGATATCATCTGCAAACTATAAATGGCCCACTATGATTCTATCTCTACCCATACTCCACCCCTTGAAAATTGCAACCTTTCTACTCTTAAGATAAGCCTGCTCAACACATCTACCACAAGAGTAAACAAAAAAGGGGATAATGGACCACCTTGCCTCAAGCTCCTCTTGGCCTCAAAGAAATCATTAACAATTGCATTCACAATCACTAAATAATGGCAAGTTTGTAAGCAACCTCTGACCCATTTGCACCCTCTCTCCCCAAAGACGCTTTTCCTTATAACTTCAATCAAAAACTCGAATCTACAAGATCATTAACTTTCTCCAAATCCAACTTAATCACAATACCTTTTCTCTCCATTCTTCTTTGATCTTCCACACATTCATTTGGTACAAGGATTTGATCAATAATTTGCCTTTCATGAACAAAGGCCTCTTGGAACTAGAAGATAATAGAGAGAACCTTCTTAATTCTCAAGGACAGGACATTTCAATGATTTTGTAAATGCTGGTTACTAAACTAATAGGCATAAAATCTTTGGGATGGCAAGCCTTTGCCTTCTTGAGGATGAAGACTAATAAAGTTGCATTGACACCTGGATTAATTTTCCCATGATCATGAAACTCCTTGAAAACTTTGAACAAAACATCCTTGAGAACATCCCAACAATCTTGATAAAATGGCATAGTGAATCCATCCGGTCCTAGTCTCCTAGAGCATTTAATCTACCATTGAGAAAACAATTTCCTTAACCTCTTCCAAATCAAACCTTCTATCCAGCATCTCCCAATAACCACTGTGTACCTCAAACCAATCTAAACCCTCAAGATTCCATCTTCCATCTAAAGGCCTTCTATAAATTTATTGAAAGTGATCCACAAAAGCTTTTGCTATGTCCTATTGGGTAACCACCTCATTCTCCAATTCTAGCATTGAAACAAATTTCTTTCTTCTTCTCCCATTAGCAACCGCATGAAAAACTTTTGTGTTCCCATCCCCCTCCCTAATCCACTTAACCCTAGACTTTTGCCTCTAACTTATTTCTTCCATCAATAAGATTTCTTTCAGTTCTTTTTTCAATCTCAATCTTTCCCTTCTCTCCTCCTCAGATAAAGGTTCACATTCTTCTTTTTTATCAATTTCTTCAATTTGATTGATCACTCTTTCCTTCTTCTCCTCCAATCTTCCAAAGCGAACTTTGTTCCATTCCATGATTTTTGCTTTCAACACTTGAAGTTTCCTGTAAAATCTTATTCCTTGCCATTTTGCATGTGGTTATTCTTACCCTGTCCCCCCACGACACACACACTTTGAGATTGTAGATGCTGCACAGAATAAAATGATATATATATATATATAGTTTTCTCTGCTTATGTGCTTGCAAGGAGGGGATTTATTTCCATTCTTGTCTTTTTCTTTTTCCACTACAATGGGGAAGGAAAGTTCAAGCAGATGGACAAAACCTTGTAATGTATCAGCCTTAAATTTGTCTTTACACAATTGAATGACACTTTGTTTAGTAAGGGAATCCTCTTTGCAACAGTAGCGTAGTACATGCCATGCCCTTGTCAGTGTTGCTGCACAAACCAGATTAGTAGTTGTTGTATTTAAAATGTTATTGTGGTATAGATAGCAAATAAGTAATGTAGCTAGGTATTCATCTTCAGCTGGTATTTATGGAGTTCTAAACTTCTAATTTCCCAAAAATAATAGCTCATAAGCTTCTCAAATGTATTCAATGGACTTGACTCAAATCCAAAGGTTGCTTGGGCACTTCACCTTCTTATGATTTCCTTGGCCATACAAGATTACAAGTTTTCCTACTAAATCCTATTTCCAAGAATGGAAAATATCGGAGGACTTCCTAACAAAGATCTAGCCAACTCTATTTCATAAAAGAGTTGGTGCCTTCAAAGTTTCTACCCAATCATCATGGAATTAAATTTTTTCACCACATTTATCTTTTTTGGGGATGGAAGGCCTCAACCATGTTCTCGTCAAACTTACTATCAAGATTACACTTCTGGGCATTAATCCAATTCCAGTTCTCACAGTCCCTTCCAAGTAACACCGCTTAATTCACCTTATGCAAACCAAGCTAGATTACAAAACTGACAATGTAGTTGTAGGAGGGTCAAGTTTAAGAAACATGCAGTAATTGAGGAATTGGTAAGACATTATTACATAACTCTTCCAAGGAAGAAAGTGAAGGAAATAAGTTAAAATTTCATCTTATGTTAAGCAATCAAAAGTAAGCATAACATACTGTGACAATGCACACACACTTCAGTGAGTTTCCATCCCGCCCAGTACAACGGCGTTTCAAAGCATAGAATTCCTGAGAGAGAGAGAACCACAAAGAACACCAAATTAGCCAAAAATGCCAAATGAAATGAAAGATACTTTTACAGAAAAAAACCCCATGGTTCAGATTCAAAAATCTAGGTCATCAAGTGAAATATTTAAGTGAAAATCTAATGGGTACTAAGGTCAGATAATAGCATGGCCAATGCATTAGCTAAACAAGGGTTAATAAAGATCAGCTTTTATGGGATCATTGTAAAATGAAGTTTTTGGGGAGAGATGGTAGTGTCTATGCACTTATCTCTACAAGATGCATGTGAAGTTTGTATATTCTTCCTAGTTATAATTAATAAAGCATTTGCTAATTATCAAAAAAAAAAAAAAATCCTGTTCAACATGACCAAACAAAGCACATAGAGGTGCATAGACATTTCACCCACGAAAAAAGTGGTCTTGAAGGAAATTTGCGACCCTATTTGACGATTTGAGAAAGTGGCAAATATACTGAAGAAAATTATTATGTCTGCTTGACGATGATATATATGGGAATGCCTTTTTTTTTTTTGAACATGGCACTACACAACAGGAGGTAGCCCATTCCCCAAACCCACTAATTCCACCTCCAGTCCTGGTGAAGGTGGGACTTTTTTATCCCAAGTATCTGCCAAAACAAGTTAGAGACCTTACAAATGGAACCAATTGACACCTTCACTTTAGAGCTGTCAATGAGTTGGATTTAGTTTATAACAGGGTGGACAAGTCCCGACCTAGTTATTTATCTGTTATATAAAATAGACCCAGAACTGAACCAATCATTAATCAGGTCTGACCCAATTAGACCTGATTACACTTTACATCTATAATTACCTATGATAATAACTTGGAAATTCATTTTTGATAACATAACCTTATTTTGAAGATTAATCAGTTTTGTGTTGTTTTAGGAGGTGGGGACCACAGTAGTTATGTGAGTCCAATTTTTATTATGTTTTTGAGTCTTATATATGCTGTTTTATGTTATGCCGCCCTATAAGGGCATAGTTGTCTTTGTACTGCTCTTATATTTTTAGTATAAATAATAAGTGAAGGGGGTGGCCAGATTATTGCTCTCTTTTCTTTTCAAGATCTCTTCTTCTCTTCTTCTCCTTCTCTCTTCAAGAAACTACTTTTTTTGTTCATATTTTTGAATTCAGCAGATTTCTACTTGGTATCAAAGCCTCGGCTAGGGCTCTTGAAGCACTCTCATGCAGCCCTAGATCGGCCGACTACATGAAGTAACAAAGGGTTGATCAAACTGCTATAGATTGCCCGATTCTTGGATGTTTTGGTGGGATCTAGTCATCAAGAAGGTGATCTACTGTTCGGCATCAAAATTAGGAAGAACTGGAGTACGGGGAAGAGTCCCAGAAAAGTTGGACTCTTTGTTTTTTATCTGATCTTGGGCGCCTAGGTATTGTTAGTTTTCTTTTGTTATTCTAAAGAGGGCGGTTAAGTTTCTGCAATTTTCTAAGCCTCCTGGAGTGACTGATTCACTCTTCTCTATGTTGAGAGGCGTGGGGAGGAGAGAGATTTCTCTCTGGATAGGGTTTCCTTCTTCCAGAATGGTTGGTTTCTGTGTGTGATATTGAATTGCTTTTAGAAGATCTCCAATCTTTTTTTTTTTTTCTTACTGTTGAACTGTTTGAAGTAAGATGGAGAGTTGGAATACTAAGGTGAAATCCATCGATACCATGGGACTAGGTGTTGGAGGTAGTAGTGATATTTTTGGGTTTGGAATCATTACTACAGTAAAACTTGATGGTACAAATTATTTAAAGTGGGCACAATCAGCCAAGATGGCTATTGGTGCCCGTGGAAAATTAGGATGCATCACTGGGGAGGAAAAGAAACCTGATACAGATTCTTCCCGATGGGTGCAGGAGAATTACATGGTAATGTCCTGGCTGTGTAATTCTATGTTACCTCATATTGGAAAAATTTTCCTATGGGCTAATACTACTAAGGAGATTTGGGATGGAGTGATTGGAACCTACTCTTAGAAAAAAAATGTAGCCAGAGCCTATTAATTAAGGAATAAGGTGATAAGTATAAAACAGGGAGAAAACCCCTTGCCATATATTTCTCCATGCTAAAAACCCTTTAGCAAGAAATAGATCACTTAGAATCTGTGGTATGGGAAAGTGTAAATGATGCAGCAACCTATCAAAAACTGGTAGAGAAAAATAAGGTTTTTGAGTTCTTGGCAGGGTTAAACCTTGAATTTGACATTGCTAGGCAGCATATTCCTTCTAGGGAGAGTGTGGCACTCTCTCAAGCCTATGCCTTTGCTGAGATAGCCTGGGATTGACCAGTCGGCTATGGTTAGTACAACCAAACCTAAGTCGAATGGAGACAGGGGGAGTAGTGAGGCTAGAAGGGAAGATAAGGACTTGGCGTGTGATTACTGTAAGAAGCCTATGCATACCAGGGATACTTATTGGAAGCTGCTCCAAATCTTATGCCTGCCCGGATAAGGAACAAAAAGGGAAATACAAATGTGGTCACTACAGGAGACTCTTCGGCCCCTCATTCTCAAACTGATTGGGAATCCATTGTAGTAGCAACAGTGAGAACAGAACTGGAGAGGTTTGGATAGCTTATGAGTAAGAAAGATACAACTAGCTCTAGCCTTCCAAATGGACAACAGAGTGCAAGAGCCAACTACACCACTTCTTTTGCACATACAGGTAGTTCATATGCAACTGCAAATCTTGCATCCACTTCAGGTAAGGAGGAACCTCCCTGGATTATAGACTCAAGAGCATTTGAGCACATGACTAATGTCCCTACCCTTTTCAATTCCTATCAGTTGTGCTCTGGTAGAGACAGAGTCTCTACAGCAAACCGTTCACATATTCCCATTGCTGGGAAGGGGACAATTAGAGTGACCAATGATATTACTTTATCTTCTGTCTTACATGTCCCACTGACCTTGATCTTCCCATTGCACTTTGCAAAGGGAAGAGAAAGTGCACAGTCCATTGCATTTCTTCCCTGGATTCTGTGTCTATGCCCAAGAATGTTACTGAGGCTCTTTCCAAACCTGAGTGAAAAACAGCCATGCAAGAAGAGATGGAAGCCTTGGTTAAAAACCAAGCTTGGGAAATAGTTGATCTCCCTCCAAACAAGGAGACAATCGGATGTAGATGGGTATTCACTGTAAAGTACAGGGCCGATGGCAAGATAGAGAGGTACAAGGCAAGGTTGGTAGTAAAAGGGTATACTCAGACCTATGGTGTTGATTATCTGGAAACCTTTGCAYCGGTAGCTAAGATGAGTTCAGTTCGTATTCTTTTATCTCTRGCAGCCACCTATTCATGGCCCTTGTTTCAGCTTGATGTTAAAAATGCTTTCCTCAATGGTGATTTACAAGAGGAGGTATATAAGGACATTCAAACAGGTTTTTATGAAAATGTTGGTAAAGGAAAGGTGTGCAAACTCAAAAAATCAATATATGACCTGAAACAGTCACCTAGGGCTTGGTTTGACAGGTTTAGAGGGGCACTTATCCGTTTTGGTACACTCAAACCCAGTCTAATCACACCCTCTTTGTAAAGAGGAGAGATGCTCTGGTGACAATTCTGATTGTGCATGTGGATGATATAGTGGTTACAGAAAATGATCTAGAGGAGATTGATGATCTCAAAAAATCATTGTAGCAAGAATTTGAGATCAAAGATCTTGGTGAGCTCAAATACTTCCTGGGGATTGAAGTTGCAAGATCCAAGCATGGGATCTTCATCTCTCGGAGAAAGTATGTACTTGACCTACTGTGGAAGACTGGGAAGCTGGGGACCAAACCAGCAGACACTCCTATTGATCCAAATCATAGAATTAATGTTGTGGATGAGCTGGTAAAAGATGTGGGGAAATATCAAAGAATGGTGGGCCGACTACTATATTTGTGTATGACACGACTAGATATTTCCTATGTTGTTAGTGTTGTGAGTCAGTACATGCATGCACCTCGGGTTCAGCACTAGGAAGCTATTAAGAGAATACTTGCATATCTGAAAAAGCACCCTGGCAGAGGCATTCTTTTCTCAAATCATAAAAATCTGAAGCTAGAATCCTATAAGGTGTAGACTGGGCAGGGTGCTGAGATAACAGGAGGTCTACATCAGGAGTGTGTACCTTTGTAGGTGGAAAGGTCAAGTGCAGAGGCTGAGTATAGATCCATGGCCCATGGTGTCTCAGAACTTCTTTGGGTTAGATCTCTTTTGAGTGAGATTGGGGTGAAAGCAAAGGAACTTATGATATTGTACTATGACAATCAGGCTGCAATCAATATTGCCCACAATCCAATTCAGCATGATAGGAGAAAACACATTGAAATCGATAGACACTTCATAAGAGAAAGGATAACAACTGGAGAAGTCTGCTTGCCTTATGTCTCTTCAAAGTTGCAGTTGGCTGATGTTCTCACTAAAGGGGTGGCAAAGAACAAGCTTGAACATGATCTATGCAAGTTAGGAATATGTGACATTTACTCCCAACTTGAGGGGGAGTGTTGAAGATTAATCGGTTTTGTGTTGTTTTATGAGTAGATGTTTTATGTTAGTTGTTAAATAGGAGATGGGGACCACAATAGTTATGTGAATCCAAATTTTATTATGCTTTTGAGTCTTATATATGTTGTTTTATGTTATGCCACCCTATAAGGGCATAGTTGTCTTTGTACTGCTCTTATATTTTTAGTATAAATAATAAGTGAAGGGGGCGGCCAGATTATTGCTCTATTTTCTTTTCAAGATCTCTTCTTCTCCTTCTCTCTTCCTTCTCTCTTCAAGAAACTACTTTTTCTGTTCATATTTTTGAATTCAGTAGATTTCTACTCCTTAATAAAAATGACAGTAAACAGTAAACTGTTTATATGTTGATAAAACAAGTGTTGATAAACCAGGACACTTTTATACATTATTACTATATAAATGGTTCAGACCTTAATCAGTTATGAACAGCAAGAACTAGTCCAGACCCAATTATTAATCGGAACACAAACCACAGAACCAGAATCAACATAATCAATTTGGTCAATTTGGTTTTATCAAGTAGACCCAACCCATTGACAGCTCTACTTTGCTTGAGGGGGAGTGTTAAAAGAACATGTTTTACCATTATATAATGAGGATGGGCCTTGGCACAACGGTTGGGTTGCTCCATTGCCACCTGGGTGACCAGGGTTCAAATCTTGGAAAACAGCCTCTCTGTATGTGCAGGGGCAAGGCTGTGTTCATCTGTCCCTCCCCAGACCCCCACATTGGCAGGAGCCTTCATACTGGTCTTCCATTTTACCATTATATAATAGGGATTTTACTATCTATATGAGGACAACAAAGTTTTTATTATGCTCAACCTCATAAAATGTTTGGGTCAGGTGTGGGCCTCATTTTTTTTCTCTACTCTGGTTCTTTCTCCCATTGTAAGATTTTCTTTTTTGTGAACAATGACCCATCTGAAACGTGGTCTCCATCCCCGAGACTATTTTAGAAGTTCTCATAGAAGACAAATTTAACCTGCCCAAGCTCATGTTGGAACATGTTGAAAACCATGTCCCTGTTGGCACACTTCATGCAAGCAGGTGTGTCCCCCAAATCATAGTTCAAAATTAATTAAAAATAATAATGTTCAAATAATTGATCAACATGTTTTTTTATTCACATGCTATGTGGAAACGTGTGTTACTTGCTTCACCATGAAATGTTTAAAAGGCAACAACTCATCTTAATTTTAAATGGGAGTAAAATTGGCTTATTAAGAGTCTACACTGTCAAAAAAATGAAGAGAAAATTAGGAGAAAATGGTAATATGAGAAACTAAAGAACCATATTTCATGAATAAGAACCATTCTAACCATCCCCCACTAGGCATTAACAGGGTAAGCATCTGACACAAAGAAGATGGTTCAGCAGATGATGAACACAAAAATACCACAACCTGCCACTTCAGCACCCTTCACAATAAATCTAATATGCCAAAAACAATAAGCCCAACAAAAGAACATGAGCTTGGCCATCATTTTCAATATGTTTCAATATGAGCTTGAACATGCCAAATGTGTATGCTACAAAATTGTAAAAAAAAAAAAAAAAACTTTCGGGTTGAAGGCTTCATTTCAGATTGGTCATTATAAGAAAGTCCAACAAAGGAGGAAGAATGTATAGAAAAGAAAAAAAAAAAGAAAAAAAGGAAAAAAGAAAGAAAGAAACATTTAACAGGAATGGAAGGAGGAGAAGAGGGAGGGAAGGAGGGAAGGGGGGGGGGAGAGAGAGAGAGAGAGAGAAAGAGAGAGAGGACCTGCTCTCCTCTAGGGTTAACAATAAGACAGAAATATGAAAACAAAGGAGGGAGAAAAAAGGTTGAGAAGAAAAAGAACATGAGGCCCACACCTCAATTAATGATTTTATTAGGTTATTTTATAATAGAGAAAAAGAAAAGGAAAAAATAAAATACAAAAACTAACTGCCAGAACTAATCCCTCCAACCAGATAAACCTAAGATCTATAGAACTGATGCTACAAAGGTCAGCATGGACATCAAATTTTCGCTGTCATGTGGTGGATTTAAAGGACCAATTGTTTCGGGTTAAAGCAAATACTGCAAAATTATTCAAATATTCAAGACAAAATTAAAGGAAAAGGCAACAATATAAAGAAAGGTATACAATACCACGATACACCTCCCAATGTTAAAATCCCTTAAATCATACCGAAATCCAAAGATCTAGAATATTTCAGATAGGAAGCAAGTTTCAAATTTTTTTTTTTATATACCAGTTATAAAATCTTCATAGTATAAAATGATTAACAAACTTTTTAGACAATTAATTTAGGGAAATGTTTGAATTTACTTGGCATACCAATGTTTGGAAGCCAAACAAAAATTCAAACTCATATCCGCATAAACATTTTCAATCATTTTAGCTAGCTTGTGTAACTGATGCAGTAATTCTCACCTGTTCAGCATACTTCCTTTTGTGGTTGTCCACGTGCCTGCAGTTAATTTTCTTTCATTAATAATTTACTTTGAAATTGCAGAAACTAAAATAAAAGAAAGTTCCAAAAACAATACTACAACAAAGCATCCTTCCCACAAAAAATAGTGGCTTCTTAGAAAATCCCAATTATATGTAGGAAACAGACCTCATATAAGATAAAGATTCCCAATGCGCTTCAGCCCGCAGCCAAGCTGCTGTCTGTCATGCAAAATGATACAAGACAACATGAAACAGACTAAAACACTCTTAGGTAAATAGATAAGAATGGAAAACATAATTTGACAGATAAAAAATAAGAACTAGAGGAACCTACCCAGTATTCCTCATCCAATACAGCTCCACGACAAATAAATCGACTGAAGGCTCGTTTTTGCAGTCCAGAAATTTCCCGGTCACTCAGCTGTAAACGGTCAAATGAGAGTTCAGGCAGCCTTGAGCTTTCATTGTTAGAAACTGATGACTGCTGGATACTTTGGGAGCTGTTATTGCAATGGACTTCAAGAGGCTTCCATCTACGGTATGACAAAGGAAATGTCTCCCTGCAAGGAGCACACAAAAGAGAACCAAATAGGACAATAAGTAGAATATCTATCAATATGAAAATTGGCCATTTTAGGGTGCTGATTGATTAAAATTCTAGGGTTACTGCATTGAAACTGACAAACATTTCCATGTAAAAGTGATCTCTATGTTGTCTTAGAAATGAAAAAAAAAAAAAAAAAAAAAAACATGCACACATGGCACATCCTTGCTAGACAAACCATTTCAGTATAATGTGTAATTCGTAATACCTTACACCCCTTTAGTTACCAACTTACCATATAAAGCTTTGGGTTCCAAAAAGCATTAAAAAATGTGGCGAAATATCCGCATATGCAAGGCTTGCAGTATTAACTAAAAGGGTGTTTGCCAATGTCTAAAACATAACCAAAGACACTGACAAACACCTCCTAAATGAAAAGAAATGATTAACATGTTACATGTGCAAATTCAAGAAAAGAGTAATTAGATGCCCAACAAGATATGAACGTCTCCAGGATACCAAATCCCATGATGACCACATTAGATGCATTAAGAAACCTTATGAAGGTGATTACCCAATGTTCATCCCAGCTATCTGGGGTCTTGGGAGTTAGTAAGAGCTTCAATATAAAACCATGCCAAATAGAGCATCAATGTAAATGTAAACATGGTCTATCATTAATGACAAGGAGTGACCTTGATGCGTGTAAAATCATTGTTGATTAGGGGGGCAAGTTGGGCTGAATTAGGTTGGGCTTAGGTCAATCCTAGACCAACACGAGTTGTTGAATCCCCAATCTTAACCCTAGCTTTAACATCAGGTTTGGCCAGGCTTAGGTTGGAACATACAATGCTAATTGAACTAACCTTCTCTGAGAGAGCAAACAGATGATATATAGTTACCTCCCTGGACAACTCTTGATTAGGTAACCTGCTAATTCATTTTATAGAATTCTGTACGATGCTCATCAGAGGAAATAAAGTTGTTAATGATTTCTCCAGTCAAAGATTGTCATTGTATCCTCTCAGACAAGGTTGGCATCTTTCAATTTACAATGCCAAAGTGTAGCTCATGAATAAGGTACGGCCCATTTTTGGACGGATAAAAGTATCAGCATTGTATTAATGCATGAGAAAGAGAGAAAAGGGAGGAGGAAATTGGTATCTAAGTAACTTTTGAGAGTTGTCTAAAGCTATTCTTTGTTATAAGTATCTTTTATAATTATGAGAATATCCCTGCCCATCTAGCCTTGAGTCCTTTTTGAGCAAGGACAACTAATGGTATTGGTAGGAGTAATTGTAAGTCAAGCCTCATCATCGAAGTAGGGAGAGCTGCTTCACGTATGTCATTAACAGATAAAAGTCTCAATGGTAGCAATGCATCTTTGACAAAATTAAGAAACATTACACAGGAAAAACTGCTTTTTTAGATATAACAATGACACAAACAAAGTGTGCAGAGAAATGGGGCTTGTGACGAAAAAAAAAAAAAATCTACTTAGATCTTTATAGGGAAAAAAAAAGAAAAAAAGTGATTACTATAGTGAACCAGGATGAGGAAAAAGAGGGACAAAGGCATGGATAGGAACATAAGATTTAGTTGAGCGGTAGACATGTTATTTCATGATAACTACACTTTGTCTTAGAATATCCCCAAGGTAGGGTCATCTGTCTTCTGTGGTCAACCATTTTGCGTTGAGATATTTCTAAGCTATCCAAACGGGAAAAGGTTACCTGAATTTAATGTAACACAAAAACCTATTTCTATTTGTGAATCATCATTGTGTCTATGTACTCTGCATTATGGTAGTGTTTCAACCAGTTTATGCTGATCCTTGAGAACACGAAATTATAAGTATAAATCAACATCAACAGCCAAATATACTTAGTCTAAGCTGCTATGCAAAAATAGTTCAGAATTAGAAGGAAAAGAAATTAACTAAAAAGAAAAGAGAAAAGGAAAAAGAAAATCATACCCGAATGAAGACGAAGCTCTATCGAAGCAGATAAGCGGACTCCGTTTGGTCCTTCTGACAAGCACCCGCGTTAATCGAGGGAGTGGGACTCGAAATTGAGGGACAAAGGTCCCCTTAAGCTCCATATCTTCTTTAAACCAGTTTCACGTCTAAATCTCATAACCTCTTCTATCCTTACAATTCCTTACATACCCACCAAATTCCTTACATACCACATAACAACAAAAATCCGAGGAACACCGAGAAATCAACTAGAAAAAGCAATCAACTAACCAGCCCACAACGGAGGAAAACGGAAGACAGAGACCTCAAATAGGAACGAAACCAAGAGGTAGTCTGATCTGAAATTCATGAAATAAGAACGAGAAGAAGGCGGCAAACGACTAAAAACCCACACGAATCCGCAGAGGAGATGGGGGAGGATAAAAGCCCTAATAGAAATCAATCGTAAAGAAACAATAATTGAGTCGTTTCTCGGAAGGTGAGGTCGAGAAGCTCTGTTGTAGAAACGTGTGGGAACGAAAAAGAAAGACAGAGAGAGATTAGGATTATTTGTAGGTTGTTTCTGTTAGTATGGATTTTTTTGCTGCAAATCTGCAATAATTGCCGTCAGGGACTCGGTGCCTCGAGGCTTTTGTCTCTGCGTTATCCGTTTACTCCATCCCACGTGGCATCGTAGTCTGCTGTCAGAGAGGCCTTTGGGCAATCGGATAATTTTCTAATTTTGGGACAAGCGCAACTGTAGGGGATAATTGATCCACGTCATCAAGGTGGTGGGCCCCTTTCCCTAATAATGGGCATGAGTAACCGGTTTATCCTGTTGGTGCCTCTTTTTCGGAGTTGGATAAGCGGAATCTGCGGGCGCCTCACGTGCACATCCACCGTGCATCACGAGAACATCTCCTGTAATAATAACTAATAATAACTAATAAATACTGATAGGATGTGCGTGTGAGGCGCTTGCGGGGCGCTAGGTGTGAGGAGTACATCTGGTCTCGATACCCATCAGCATGATCAACACCATACATCCATCATTAAAGTTAGACTTCCCATGCATGATATAGAATGTCCGATGATGTTGTAGGGTGTTGGAATATATTTTTTTCGTAAGAGAGACCCTTTTCAGAGTAGGTACATCAGAATTGAAATTGGAATCTTTCATAATCAGAATTAATCAGAATTGGAATAGTCATTGAAATTTAAAATACGACAATTTAGTATTTAAAATTTCAAAACATGTCAATCCAATACGACATTACCTACCGTTAACTAGGTGTTAATTAGTTGTTAAGTGGCATTTGAAAAATACACAAAATGCTTTTCGAGTGTCAACTAATTTTCTTTATCAACCATCCAAACATTGATAAAAAAATTAACAACCCCAAATCCTTGCTTCTTTGTTCAACAAAATTTGGGTCATCTTGAATAAAAGAGGCAAGGATTTAAGATTATTAATTTTTTTTTCAATGTTTGGATAGTTAATAATGAAATTTAGATGATACTCAAGGGGCATTTGTGTCTTTTTCAAATATATTTAACAGATGGTTAATAGTTGGTTAACGATAAGTATTGTATTGAGACATTTTTTAAGTTCGGATACTAAATTATCACATTTTAAAGTTTAGGAACCAAATTAGCACTGGACCCAAAGTACAGGATACTAATTGGGAATTTTCCCTAAAATTAAAAGAAGAATTAAAATTCATAAAAGGAAGGAGAAGGAATGGCCATTCTCTCAAATAGGAAATACCATTCAATCAAATGATTGGCCATTTCGATTATAATTCCAGACTCTAATCCCATGAACCAAATGGACTGTTATGGTTCCGGTTTGCTCAATAAAACCAAACCGACTAAATCAATTATATTGGTTTTAGTTTTGTGGTTTGTGTCCCAATTAATAATTAATTTTCCATTAGGTTTTGCTATTCCAAAAGGATTATGGCCGATAATATATAATGGATTTTTTGTTTTCTTATAAATTTTGTATTATTTTGTCTAAAAGGAAATCTCATGGACAGTAATATAAGATGATTATGGTTAAAAATACTTGTCTTATCAGAATGTAAAACATTTATATTAATTATGTTTATTAAGGTTATATTATACAACTGGGCAAGATTGGATTGTTGGTTCGGGACTGGTCCACTCTATCCCGAATCAGACCCGATCCATTGATTGGACCAGATTACCAAACCTGACCCACCCGCCCCTAGAATACTCTACTTACGGGTTGTGTTTGGTGTGGGGCTGTTTAACCGAACCGAAGCCTGATTAACATTAGCTTCAAACAGCTATAATAGGGGTTGGGTCAAGGCAGATTTGTCACTTAACCCGACCCACGAACATCCCTATCTTCTCTGTTAAAAGCAATATTATCATATTTGGACTCAAATGGAACCGGTGACCCAATGACCTTTCTAGCAAGGTCTCCGTCAATTGACCGTTCTCACAGTGTTGACAAATTAACGGCCACTTAAACCTGCAAAATTGTGACCCAATGAGAATTCCAGGCTTTTGTCGGATCCGATCTGACAACACTGATTGAAACAAAAGCCCTTGCCCGTTGCTCCTAGTTGAAGCTGGATTGGTTATTCATTACTTCATTACAAAGTCCATTTCCATTCCTTTTTTTTTTTCTTATAGATGAACTACGGCCCTGTTTGTTTGGCCACAAGTTTTTCTATCTACATAAATTCAGTAAGTGCTACTTAGTAAAATGTTACCTAGGGCTGCAAGCCAGGCCAGGTTAGGTCGGGTTGAGGCCAACCCTAGCCCAATCCTAATTCTAAACCCCCAACCCTAATCCAACCAAATCCTAACCCTAACTAAATTCCTTCAACCCTAACCTAACCCAACCCAATCCGGAGTCAATTTCGGGTTGGGTTGGACCCAACCCAACCTTCTTCCCATCCCTTAAAACTTCATAGAGTTTCTCGATTTTAAATCTTAACTCAACTTTCACTACATATATTAATCCTATGTTTCATTAGTATTTGTTTGTTGAGGTTTTTTTTTTTGTTCTTTTGGTACAAAATATAGAAAAATAAGTGTTAGAAATGACTATAGTTTATTATGAGTTATGATTTATGATTGATCTTTTATGGACAGCAAACAACAAAGAAGAGATGAAGAATAAAATTTTCAAAAAACATAAAATAATGTTATTAATCCTATGCAAATATCATGCATCTAAATAAATCAACGTATGTTATATTATCACATATAACATATATTATTATATATGACATGTACTATAAAGTCAGGTTCAGGTTGGGTTGGGTTGCCTAAGGGGTCAACCCTAACCCAACCCAAAGTAAAGTTGGGTTCATGAATTTCAACCCTAACTCTAACCCGAGTATCAACCTGACCCAACCCAACCCAACTTTTGTTGCAGCCCTAATGTTACCCAGTTAAGTACATTTATTCATAATCTTTTGCTAAACGAATAAGCTAACGAGTAAATTTCCTAAAGGATCCCCCTTTTTTTTTGTGCTAAAGACATCTTAATCTTATACAGTTTGGTCAATTTTTCCCCTCCATAGATAAGTAACTTAGGTAAAACTTTCGCAAGTAAGTTGTCAAAAATTTACCCAGGAAATAAAAAATTGTTTCTATAAGATCTATACTTCACTAGTAAAAGAACATAGGAAAATTGGACAATCCCCTCCCCCCCACCCCCCCAAAAACCTAGAACCTGGAACCTGGAACCTACCTTGTAGGTGTCGCTTTTAGATTTTTGGAACTGGAACCTACCTATGAAGGTCAATTATGGTCTAGTCAGTTCTAGCTCTACCCATGGAACTTATTTTTTCTTTATTCTCCCCCTTCAAAAAAATGAAACATGTCCTTTAAAAACTTGATTTTTCAATAATGATAATATATAGTTTAAAACTTATATTATCTTTATTGATTAAATTGAGTAATTTAATATGCATATTATCATAATATATTATAATATATAGTTCAAAATTTGTTATTATAATTTAATTTTTATAAACATTACCTTTTACATTATTTATTATACAAATTCAAATATTAAAATAAAAACAAATGACAAATAAGTAACTCAATGTTCAAATGAGACCATAGCTTTTGTAACCACAAGTGCTTGGCTTTAAATATTCACATCCTTATACATATTTTGGGGTTTATTTCAAGGCAAATTCGGTTCTTAAACCAGTTCCACCAAGGGGAACCAAGGCCAATTCATCATGTCAATTCAGGTAAGGTAAACCCTTAGACCCCAAAACCTAGGTGGGGGTCGGTTACAAAAAAAAAAAAAAAAAAAAAAAAAAAAAAAAAAAAAAAAACAATGATAGTCTTCCAATTTTGTCAATATAGACAACAAAATACTAGTGGACTCCATCTTCATTTCCATCCAAAGTAAACAAAATATTCTTAGAACCCAACAAGATAAAATATTCCATTTCTTTTAAATTGAGTAATTTGTAATTAGTAAATGTTTTTTAAAAAATAGAAATAACTTACAATTTTAAAAATTATTGATATAATAGAAATTAAATATAAAATATATAAAAAATAAGAACCTTTATATTGCTTAATTGTAATATTAAATCCTAGGATTAGAAAAAATAGTTTAGATGTTTTACTTGAATGTCATTATGAAAATATGAGAAATGATATTAAAAAAGATAAAATTAATAATTTATTATTTTAAATGTATAGTATATATTAATTACAATTATTAAGACATAGGAGAACTTGTACAACCTCGATCCACTATATGAATCACAATTATAGTTCTAGTAGTGGGAAGAGATGACGTTTAGTCATTAATAAATAAAAGGCAACAATCAGTTATCACTTCATCATTACGTTTGTTTCTTGAACTTCATTTTTATTTACAAGCTATTTTTAGTAATTTAGTATATTCCCTTTGTTTTGAGGAATTAAATAATTTTGATATTTTAGCCTAGTGGAAAGAACATGAAAAAAAAATTATCCAATGCTTACCACCATGGCACATGATCTATTATCTGTTTGGTGTCTAAATTCCATTAAAGTCTAGTTTTAGTGTAGGTATTAAAGTATTGAATGACAAGAGAAGTTGAAGAAAATACTAAAGTCAATATTTTTTTATATACTCAATAATTGTACAACATTTTAAAGTTATTGTGCCGAGCTTGACCTTGAAGGGATTTCAAGCCAGATAGGCACAACCCGCTATAATACGGGCAACCCACAAGATCATGTTGTGCCAGCATGACACAACCTACATCGCACCTCTAACGTCTATCTATTTCATGCTCCAAACTAGCCATCTACTTTGTAAGTTGTTTTGCTTTGCATAAGACATAATTGACTTTTTTTTTATGTTTTTCTTTTTTTTTAACGCATAATAAGACAACTCTTCATTAAACATGCTCTAATACAAGAAATAAACACAAAGCTTAAAGAACCCAAGACTAAAAACCAACTAGACACCATCATCAATAAAGAATCAATAACAACCTACGTATATGAGCACTGTAGTCAAGCAAGGCCTTTACAATCAGGGTCAATGACGAAATGTGTTGCAAGTCAAGACTCAAGAGCACAGTCAAAATAACAGCCCATAT